ATCTTCTGAACTTGGGTTGGGTCGTAGGGCCATTCCTGTTTTACCCGGTGTAGGCATCAGATCGGGGTTTGTCCTAAACTAGGCCCAACTCGACCTGACCCAGGAAGAGTTTTAGTGTTGTTTATCGGCGAGGAATCAGGCAAGAGAGGAGAAATTTGTGTTTCAAATTTTTCTTTTTACTAGACAGTATGTGTACTTATTCGCGAGCGGGGTTCTAGCGGGATTCGTTAGCATTCTGCCTGCCTACAGTAGTGATCAGCCTTTTTACGGTATTTCTGACAGTATGTGGAGTTAATTCGGTATTCTCATAATCACATAATGCCATATCACTGAGCTAACGGTGTGAATTACATTATATTTTCCCGCATTGTATATATAACTCCATGTCAAAAATCCTGGGACAAGCCCCCGTAGCAACTCGCGGTTGCGTTGTCCCATGATTTTTGAACGAGAACTATACATATGGTGTAGGGCCTGTTGGAACCACCGATTTATATCACACGTGCTGCTTGAATATACTCTGTAAAAGATTAATAGTTAAAGTAAATATCTGTCGCTGTACCTATATAGCCAATGTTATTCATAACATTGTCAATTCATAAAAGTGAAATGTTTTTCTACCAGTTAAAGAGAATCGAAGTTCAAAGACCATTGGGTAGAAAGACTGGGTTTGTGTGTTCCTGGAGGCCCGTGCTATAGCCACCACAATACATATCTCTGTGTAGAGAATCAGAACTTGACATAGGCACAGTTTTTGATGCTTAATTGATACTGTTGATAATGACAGCTAAATTCTTTTCTTCCCTCAATAAAATTCGTTCTTGTTAATCATTCCCGCCTTGTCCCATGATCATGATCGCATGGATTAGGGTGGGCCACCTATAACTGAATCAAATATTAGGCAATCAATCTTCGGAAGCTGGATCCGAAAGAAGACTTTCCGGAACATTCGGAACATTCCAATATGGTTTTTATATTGACACTATTTGTAAATTGCTTATGTTTTAATTTTATGTAGTCCCATAGAATAGATAGATGAACTGATCTGACAGAAATAAAGTTAACTGGTAATAATTCTCCGGCCAAGTGTATATATGGTTATCTTATGATATTATACGAATTAGGACATTGAATCGATAGGCGTAAGCTTAAGATACTTTGTCCTTAATTTATCGGGACCACCTTTAATACGACAACGGCTTTATTGAGTATGGCTAAGTTTTAATACTTAACGCCGGATCTTTTGGGCAGCCCAGCTCTTTCCCCTCCCGGTTGGGATTCTAAAGTAACTATCACGACTAGGCTCATGAAGTGGGTGTTAGCACGCGTATGTGGTGTTTTTAACCAAAAACCTCAAATGCGAGTAGGAGGGCTGGACTGGCAAGTAAGAAGCATTGTCGCTCACAATGAACGGTGATATAAATAAGCCTGGATAAGAGGCGGTTTCCCCCCCTCGGCTGGCGAGTTATAATAGAGAGGTCGGTTATCAATCTGTACTTAAGGGTGCTTTGGGGATATTCACCTGATTATGCTTGAGGCGAGAGACTACCAAAGAGTAAGCCATGTTTGATTGGGACCTTGGCCGATAGCAATATGAGAAAGTGCTAATGGTACTGAAAACTAGTTCTCGGTTTACCACGGACAAATGGAGGTTGAAATAGTCTGCGTCTGTGGATTTTGACTATATATTGATACCAGGGAACCACTATGTATAGGCTCCCATGTATGCACATGTCTCACTTGTACGCGGCTCCAGAGGGAAATTCGAATGGCCTGACCAGCTAACCAAATGTTCCAGAAGAACTTGAAACCGCATGCATGCAATTGCGCAATTACAAGGACCCCAGTATTTTTTCTCGATTAGGATGGACCTTTTTTTGTTTATTTTGTAAAACCGACTTGGTGCATGTATGTTATCCCCTGAATAGACGTTTAACTCGAACCTGTCGTTCGATTTAGAGTGTGGATAGCCTCTTGTTGACTGTTTTTAGCATGGTCGTCTAGACTAGATAGAGGCGAGGTCGCAAGCCATGTATGCCGGGTCAATAAATGTGCTGCTGACAGATCGTATTGCTCTAGATCCTTTTGTTTGCTCGGGCGCGGGTAGGGACAACTGAAGAAGAGCTTCAAGCCTATTCTCCAGCTAAAGAATCTTGTAAGTACTGTACTAGGATGGTTATAAAAGTTGATCGAAGCTTAATTCGGAGAGGCATATATATAATAAAATTAGAAGCAATTCGTAACTCCCTCTTTAGGAACTTCATGTTTGTTTAACAAAATGGAAAGAGAATAACGTATTTTAATGATTTTTGTAAGTGTAGTAGTATATGTAGCTCATAGAAACCCTTGCAATCGAAGGCTTCCAATAGTTGTTTCAGATATCCCTCGAGCTTTGCAGAGATTAATTAAGCTGCAGCTGCTGACGTTCGCCTCTTCACAACGCGTGAAAGTAGGTAGCACACAGTCCGGTCCATAGTTAGAAGGTCAATACTTCATGCGTGCTAAATCCAGAGAAAATAAATAAGAAACACCTCCCACATCCAGGCCGCGTAGGAGACACGAATCAAGCCCTGTCAACTGCTTAATGGTAGTCGCAACCAAGGCCGGGTAACGCTAGCTAGGGCGTTATGTTTCAGACTGAAGGATGACATCCCTGGAAAACCGTTTTAAAGCGGTAATGCTATTTCAGTACCTCTTGTGGCGTAACAATTGAGCCATGATGCGAGTGTGTACCTAGACCATTCCCCATGTTTTGACGTTACGATAATAATTTGGTCTGCATAAAACCTACATAGCTAGATCAGCTATATTCTAAACCTATGGTAATATTTTGGAAGGATGTTTTCGTTTCCATCTGGAGACTCGGAACTAGGTGAGACTAGAGTAAAGAGCCGATGACCAAGCTTGTAGGTAGATATACATTATTTCAATATCTCATTCAAGCAAAGATCGATTATCCCTCTAAAAGCCGTATATCTTGGACCAAAATTACTGACCGGGAACATTTCCAGAAGACTTGGGTTAAGAAATAAGGGGTTCGTTGGAACTTTAGCTATCGGAAGTCACGTTTCATGAATGTTCGGGTGCGCGGGTAAACATGCCAGCTGGGGTTGATCCTGAACCTCGATGATCATCGATGGAGGGCAAGGATTGATTCTCGTATGTAGAAGGAGTTACCCCGTTGAGAAGCCGGGAACCGAAAGTTAACTCCCGAGCCAAATATCGAGGTTGGAGAGGAATGAAATTTGTATGGGGATAATGGTTGATGATAATAATGTTCACTTGGGTTTCGATGTCTGTTCCTGGTGATTCGAATTAGTAGGCCCAATTAAGCCGGTCTGCTGTAGGCACCTTGTACGCGTGTTGCTTGTTGCTTGTTGCAAAGCGCATGATGCGTTTGAGAAGGCTAGCTGGACTGGATCCATCATACCAGGCGGCACTGCTATCCCCACAAATTCCATCAAATCTATTATACGTACTGGCACTCATACACTTTGACATCGGAGACTTGTTTCGCTTCCAAAAGAAGAACATGAGGGTACTTGATTAGGTATTGGTTGATGTCTCAACATTGAGCCAACCTGTAAAATATTGAGATGGGTAAAGTACACCTATCCATTACCGGCGAGTAATATTCCGATGACTAGGAGCTGGGGTCAGAAGTCATCATGGGAAGGGGAAAAACCCTTGCATAAGAACACTAACTCCTGAAGAATCCGAGACTCCCCACATAACAGCCGCGATATTTAAGTTGTCTAATCCATACGGGTATTCAATTGCAAGGTTCATCGAGTACCGGCAGGTACTTGCTCTAGAGTAACGTAGGTTGACCGGGTACAGTCTGTACAGAGACTCGAATTGGAAACCAAAGGATTCTTCTGACCGACTAACTGGATCGATGCACGAATCACGAAGAGCAGTATGGCATTCTAAGTCATTGGTTCTGAGTAATTGGTGTGCCTTCCAGTCAGTACACACTGTACTATGTAGGGATTAGATATTCGTCCATCCAAGAGAATGAACTGCATGCTGCCACACTACACTCCGCTCTCTACTGCCCTACTCCTCTCCTGTACCCTTTTCTTCACCCCTTAACCACCCCTTCTCCTCGTGCCCTATTCTTTTTTTCAGCTTCTTCTCCTCCTTTTCTTCTCCTTCACCTCCGCCTCTAATCTTTCTCCGCCCGCTACCCCCTCCGCCCCTCAATTCTCACCCCCTCCCCACCCCACCCACCCCCGCCGCCGCTTCGTCGAAGCCCTGCTTCGGCCACTGTAGTCTGCTCCTTACATACGGGGGGCTTTCCTTCTACTTCGCACTACACCCAACCCATCCCCCCTTTTAATCTGAAGTGACTTTGTAAAGTCAGCATTAACGTATACACGGTCCCTTCGTACATTCACCATCCCTATTTTATACCGGCGAAAATCGGTCTTTTTTTGGAACACACGTCTCGCGTTGTAACGGAATGTGAGTTAAAGCCCCAATCATCACGGAATTTTTTAGCGTGCAGAGCCTCCTCCCCTTCTTCCTTGACCCTTTTTTTTTCTATGCTTTATCTACGTCGACTCCGCTCCTGTCGATAACCGGTATTTTATCTGACCACGTTTTCATCTGGTGTCAGTGCTTTCCATACGCACATTACATATATTTCGAGATAGCCATTTTAATTCTGGCCGCTGTAATCTGACGAAGAGGCCTTTCCAGCTGCGCTACATAGAGGAATAATCTTAAATCGAGAGGACCACAAGGACATAAATCTCCCGGTTTTCTACTTGAATATCGGATCACCGGGCTTAATTTCCTTCGGTTCTTTCAGCCTTGGCCATTACAGACCCTCGATAGTCGAGTCGTCGACATATATACATTTGCTCAGAGCAAGCCTCTTTCAATTGGCGGGCCCACATCACTGGTTTGTAGACCTTCTTTACAAGTGGCTTCTTGAAGTCTGACGCAAAAGTCTTTAGGTGTAATTCCTAATGTCGTCCAATTCTGACCTAACTATGAGCCACCTTCAATCACTCGCCACTCATCACGGCTCCGGTTCTTCTACCGGAGGCAATACTGCCAACTCTTCTCCTACTGACCCGGGTTCTGGATCTTTGCGTCCTGGTTTTGCTAACGGGTCAATGAGTGCTGGAAATTCGACGAATAATGTAAGAATGGGGGCAGGTTCTCCTAATTATGATGCGTCTTCTGGTAGTCGGCTGTTCTCAAAAAGGGCACGCGAAATTCAGGCCGAAGAGGGAGTTGGACCTCCACACCCTCCGGGTCTTTGGGGGCCAATGCCAACAACCTCGGCATCATCTCTACGGGACCGCGGGGACTCTGTGCAGGAGTCACAACCGAGTAATAGCTTCGCTGACAATGGCTCAATGGCATCCGACTACACGTCTCCGGTGTATCGCCGCGCACGCGCAGGGACTGTCCCTTCGAAGTTTTCACCTGGCGGCCTCACCAACGCTCCGCCAGCTATCTCTCAAATTCTTCCGCAGACAAGTCGTCCGTCCCCCGTGCCAAGCCCTTTCAAGTCCTCCTCGCCATCAAATTTGGATTTGGTAGACACCCCTCCTGTATCTGGAGCAGGTCTCTCAACCTATTCCGTAGCTTCCAGATTACGCTCAGGATCTTTGAACCTGCCTCAACGCACAAACTATGTTAGTGCTTTTGGGCCTTCTATCTTTTCGAGCTCTTGGTCACAATCCCGCCCCGGAAGCAACAATCTCCCTTCCCCAGCCCAGTCGTCTTTCTCGAAAGATGACGAGGGCACCCATATGGCACCAAAAACCCTAGACTACCTTGGGCTTGTGGATACACCCCAGACATCAAGGGCAACCCTTGCAAAGCCGATGACTCTTGACCCGCTTATTGAAGGTCAACGTGCAGCTGCCCTACAGCCATTTGTCTCAGATCTTAGCTCTGTACAGAGGAACATCAATCGTATTCGGTCTTATTCGGTCAATGCAAAGGAGAAGTACGCTGAAGATGAAGAGGATGATGAAGATGATGAAGTTCGTCATTTATACTCGACTCAACACAGTGGTTCCGTGACCCCGAACTCCATGACTGCAATGGCTGCTGCTCAAGCTCAGGCTAATGCCCATGCTTTGGCTGTGGCTGCGTATACGAACCACGCATCACCGAGTCGACCTCGAGCAAGGACTGCTGGTATTTTGGACTCTCCACCTGCCAGTCGGTTGAAGGGTTATTTGGCTACTCCATCAAGGCTTGACTCTATGACAAGTGCTTCTGATATGAGGAGCGATTATTTCGATTTACAAAGTGGGTCCGACACATTGAAACTCGCTTCATTGCATCCTCGCCCGTCTAGCGGTGAAGGTGGGTTAGCTTCTATTGAAGAATCTTCTTTGGAGGGCCCTACAAGATCTTTATGGCTCGGAAATATTCCTGCCTCTACAACTACCACCTCCCTTGATCACATCTTCCGTACATTCGGACACGTTGAATCAGCGAGAGTCTTGACACACAAGAACTGTGGTTTCATCAACTTCGAACGCATGGAATCTGCAATTCAGGCTCGCAATCAGTTGAACGGAAAGGAAATTTTCCCGGGTGCAGGGCCTGTCAGAATTGGATTTGCCAAGCCATCCTCAGCCGGAAGCAACGGAACACCCACCCCCAGTGGAGGTGTATATGGAACACCAAGCCCAGATCCCCATCAAAACCCTACAGCCATTGGTGCCGAAAATGGTCTTTCCATGTCTCGTGATGGCAATAACTCAACTTCAGGTGTTAACGGCAAGGATGCAGGCACAGGCCACGACAGTACGGCAGTACCTAAGGTTCCCGAACTGTCTGAGATGAAGGATGATATACTCTCCATTGTTGTGGAATTCGGTGCTGAAAAGTCTGAGCTCCCAAAGATGGCAAAGAATATTGATTTTGCAATCCAATATGATGAGTTTGAAGCCGAAATTCCTTCTATCCCTGAGCCCAGTCACAACCGGGTTCACGACGCGCCCAAGCTTAGAGATATTAGAAAGAGGATTGATAATGGAAACTGCTCTAACTCTGAAATCGAAGAGATTGCTCTCAACATGCTCCCGGAAATTGCAGAGCTTTCAAGCGGTTAGTTGTCTCCATTCTTGGAAGTTGCATTCTAGCAAGCTGACTGTCGTATAGATTATCTTGGCAACACTGTTGTTCAAAAATTGTTTGAATATTGCTCCGAGGAAATTAAGGAGACGATGCTTGTTGAAATTGGCCCTCACTTGGCCGAAATCGGAATTCGTAAGTACACCATTATGTAGTTTTAAAGTGTTGTTGCTAATTTGATATGATAGACAAGAACGGTACCTGGGCTGGTCAGAAGATCATTGATGTGGCAAAGACACCTGCACAGATGAACAAAATCTGCGACTGTCTTCGCCCTTACACCGTTGCACTATTCCTCGATCAATATGGAAACTATGTACTCCAGTGCTGTTTGCGATTCGCAGCTCCTTGGAATGACTTTATTTTTGAGACTATGCTGGGTCGTATGTGGGAGATTGCGCAGGGGAGGTTTGGTGCAAGGGCAATGAGGGCGTGCTTGGAGAGCCATCATGCTAGCAAAGACCAACAGAGAATGCTAGCTGCTGCCATTGCCTTACACAGCGTGCAACTTGCTACCAACGCCAATGGTGCATTGCTGTTGACTTGGTTCTTGGACACTTGCACTTTCCCCCGCCGACGAACTGTGCTTGCACCGAGATTGGTTCCTCACCTAGTTCATCTCTGCACCCACAAGGTAGCGTACTTGACTGTTCTAAAGGTTATTAACCAACGTAATGAGCCAGAGGCGCGTGATACTATTCTCAAGGCGTTATTCTTCTCGCCCGGAGATAAGGTATTGGAGGATATTCTAAGCGACCATTCTTGCGGAGCCACTCTTATTTTCAAAGTTCTTACTACACCGTTCTTCGAGGAAACAATGAGGAGTGAGGTTGTACAGAACGTCCGAAATGTTCTTCTCAAGCTCAAGGCAACTCCTTCTCAGGGATACAAGAGGTTGATGGACGAAGTTGGTCTGTCCACTCGCAATGGTGTCTCCAACAACTCCAATAGCAACAACAACAGCAACAGTGGGCAGAAAGACCATGCTAGAGAGGCGAACGGAAACTCAAACGCAGGAAACGACCGCAACCGAACACATCACAATGCACCTGCAAGCAATAACCAGAACAATCATCACAATAACCGTGACGTCCCATCCGCTCCCTACTATCCAACAGCCCAGCCAACTTTCGATCCTGCTGTTGCAGCTCAGCTCTCTCAGAATGGGGGCATTGACCTCGCGACCTTAAGGGCATTTGAGCAATTTAATCTCAGTGCTCAACTCTATAACCCTGGTGGTCCACCTGGGATGAATAACCCACTGCAATACCAAGCCTTGTTACAACAATCAATGGCTCGTCCAGGTGCAGGTTTCTATGGCATGCCACCCCCAATGGGCAATTTTAACAGTGCACCCGGTCCTCAGGATCAATTCCGTGGAGGACACCCGGGTGGTTCTCCAATCCCTCAACAGCAGCAAATGGCAGGAAGTCCGATGCTTGGGGGGATGGGGGGGATGGGCCCAGGTGGAATAAACCCATTGATGGCACAGCAACTCATGGCCAGCTATCCTTATGGAGCGATGAACGGACTTCCGGTTTTCTCTCAGCAGCAGCAGCAGCAACAACAGCAACAGCAGCAGCAGCAGCAGCAGCAGCAGCAACAGCAACAACAGGGAGGTGCGGGTGGTGGAAGAAGGGGAGGAAGGGTGAGTCATCCAGCCCTTTCTCGACCTCTGGTAGAAGTTGAGTACTGATTCCCAGCAGCGCTAGGGGTTTTTGAGATGACATTTTTGACCTGATTCTTTGTTATTTCAATTTTTCATATTTTCCCTCGTCTCACTTTGTTATGGAGTAACAAACATGTATACAGTGCCTTTGGTCTTTTTATGGTGATATAAATGTTAACGTTGCCCTGCTCTGCTGGGCCAATACTTATTTTCTTCCCTAGTCTTGTACTTTCAAGTTTCCTTTCTTATTTGGGTGCTTACTATTTCTAACCGTATTGGCTTTTGCCTTCCCCCCTTAGACCTGGCTGAACGTCATGGTTTTTGTTTGTTGCCTTTATGTATCAACTTTGTTTTGAATAGTGTTAACGGGTTCCATTGATCCTCTATTGTTATTGTGTATTTTCTCTACCCTCCTATCACCCCCCCTTCCTTCTTCTCTTCACCCCCCTTCCTTCTTCTCTACATCTCCTCTTGGCATTTTTCTTCGATCACGCACACGCACAAGTCTGGGGGTTTAAAATTACCCCTCCCCCCTTTCTTGTTTTGTATGAATTACGGAAAGTATTGGTTGGACATTTTCGCGGGAGTTTGTTGGGAAAAAAAAAGAAAAATCGGAGCTGGGAGTTGGTTGCGGTTTGATTAGTGGGTAGGTTTTACGAAGTTGCGATGATGGTGAGTAACATAAAAAGTCTTCTTGTTTTTGTTTTTTTTATCATGTTGGTTGGAATATTGGGCAGTGGTGGAGAGAGGGTTGATGGGCGGTGTATGGTCTCTGTTTATGAGGGAAGGATTTGGAGGTCGGGTTTATTGGAGGGGAGGGATATTGGGTTTTACGGGAAATAGTCATTGTCTTTCCCTTGTTGGTTTTTCTTTTTTTCTTTTCTGTCGATGTTAAGTGGGAGTTGAGCTTCCTGCTGGGATAAAGATTAACAAGAGAATTCAAATAAAAATAGTTTTTATTGCGAGAAAAAAAATTGCTGCTTTCTGGTTCAGAGTTAACTAACAGCGAGTGATCAGAGATGATGCTTGGGAGATTTGCGGCTTCTTGACAACACATTGGACGTCATGACGTCAATATACATACATACATGCACTTTACCTACATAAGTACTTATTTCCCCTCGATCGAAGTGTGGGCCATAGATTAATTCCCCAGAGTGTTTATAACCAACCCCTCTCGTCCCCGCGAAACATGTCTCCAGCCATCCGCTCACTCCACGCCCGCGCCCGCACTTGCTCCATCTCTCAACAACAGTGCACCACAAAACCGCAATTAACACCACCATGACGCTCCTCATCAACCCCACCACCACCAACACCACCACCACCACACACGGCCGCCACCCGCACAAAGCATGGTGGAAGTCCGCGGCTGTGTACCAGATCTACCCCTCCTCCTTCGCTGACACCAACGGCGACGGCATCGGCGACCTCCCGGGCATCATCGCAAAGCTGGACTACCTGCACAAGCTCAACGTCGACGTCGTCTGGCTCTCGCCGATATACCGCTCGCCGCAGAAGGACATGGGCTATGACATCTCGGACTACCGCGACGTGGACCCAAGGTATGGCAAGATGAGGGATCTAGATGCGTTGCTGGAGGGCCTGCATAACAGGGGTATGAGGCTGGTGATGGATTTGGTGGTCAATCATACTTCGGATGAGGTTTGTTGAGTTCCTTTTTTCTGTGAGGGTGAGGGCTGACGTGTGGTAGCATCCATGGTTCCAAGAGTCCAAGCAGGACCTCACAAACCCCAAGGCCGACTGGTACATCTGGCGGCCGCCACGCTACATCTCCGGCGTACGCTGCGCGCCCAACAACTGGGAGTCCGTGTTCAGCGGGCCCGCATGGACATATGTGCCCGCGCGGGGCCAGTACTACCTACACCTGTTCCTGCCGGGGCAGCCGGACCTCAACTGGGAGGTTCCGGCGGTGCGCGAGGCTGTGTACGACGTGATGCGCTTCTGGCTGGACAAGGGCGTGGACGGGTTCCGCATGGACGTGATTAACCTGATCAGCAAGGTGCAGAGCTTCCCCGATGCGCCGGGGGAGGGACTGCAGAGCGGGATGGACTATTGCGCGAATGGACCGCGGTTGCATGAGTTTTTGAGGGAGATGAGGAGGTGTGCGGTGGAGGGGTATGATGTGTTGACGGTGGGGGAGATGCCGTGCGTGACGGATGAGTGGGAGGTGTTGAAGGCGGTGGGCAGGGAGAGGGGCGAGTTGGATATGGTGTTTCAGTTTGATATGTATGGTCTCTTCCTTTTTCCTTTTTTCTTTCTTCCAGTCTTTTGATCCCGAGCTTCCTCCTGGTTCGTGGGTGTGGTGGTGGTGGTAGCGCTGATATTGCGTAGTGTGAGCGTCGACTGGGGCTCCGGCAGCAAGTTTGAGCACCGCCAGTTCCAACCGAAGGTGCTGGCGGAGGTGGTGAACCGCTGGCAGACCTTCATGATCGAGAATGACGGGTGGAACACGCTGTTTGACGAGAACCACGACCAGCCGCGCACCGTGTCGAGGTTCGTGGACCGCAAGTACACGGACAGCGACTACGAGACCCGCGCAAAGGTGGCGAAGCTGCTGGCGACGTTCCTGGTCTGCCAGAGCGGCACGGTCTATGTATACCAGGGCCAGGAGCTCGGCATGAGGAACTGCCCGAAGGAGTGGCCAATCGCGGAGTATAAGGATATAGAGACTATCAATTACTGGAATAAGTATGTGTCGTCTTCTCATCTGTAGACAGTATGCGGTGAGCGCCAGATATGCTAACGGGGTTTCTTGCAAATTAAAGGGTGCTGGAAGAGCGTGGCGGCGGAGACGCAGACATGTCAGACGTCATGGCGCAGATCCAACTTAAGGCTAGAGACAACGGGAGGACTCCCATGCAGGTATGTATCCCATCTCATCCCATTCATGTAGCCCTATATATGTGAAGCCATTGGCCAACACCATATCACATAGTGGAACGACACCGCACACGGCGGGTTCACGACCGGCACGCCCTGGATGCGCGTCAACGACGACTACACGTGCTGGAACGCTGCCCTGCAAACCGACGACCCTAACAGCGCCTACAGCTACTGGGCCCGGCTGCTCACGTTCCGGAGGGAGTTCTGCGACATCGTTGTGTATGGCGGCTTTGAGATGCTGACGGGTGGTGAGGGCGGCGTGATTGCGTACCGCCGGAAAGGGTATGTGGGGGGGAGTGAGAAGACGGCGGCGATTGTGGTGGTGCTGAACTTTGAGCCGAGGAGTGTGGGGTGGAAGTTAGAGGAGGGGAGGTTTGCGAAGAAGGTGGTGCCCGATGTGTTGTTGGGCACGTATGGGACGACGGTGTTTGTGGAGCAGGGGATGCTGATTTTGAGGCCGTTTGAGGCGGTGGTGCTGGATGCTTGTGTGTGAGAGTCGGCGGGGAGTTGGAGTAGCGATATTTGTGGAGGGACTTCCTGCCTTTCCATTGTTATGTTGGGAGTGTTTTGTGTGAAGCAATGTTTTATTTAGTCTGGTGAATACTTATCTAATCACGACGATGATAATACAAGAGAGAAAGAAAGATGTAGGCAAGAAGAGGCATAGGAGGCTCGTTAAGAAGGCCAATTAGCGTACTCGAAGAGCCGAGTGATACACTGTGATGCAACCGACGACCGACCAAACCCAACCTTCCTTGCAAGCCCGGCAAAGTTTCGTTGAGCCGAGAGCTCTTTCGGCAGAAACCACTGATATTACCCAAATTCCCTCTTGTAACGAACGATGTTTCCTATCTTGGTTCACAATGATCTTCTGGCTCATGAAATATCACTCGATCCGAACTACGCAAAGATGTTTTCCGTACGCCCCACCGTCCCACGATACCATCTTATGGTTCTTTCTTAGGATCCAGAGAGAGTGTATGTAGTTCAACTGCATACTTTACTTCCACCTAAAACGAAGCTTTGCTTTTCGTCCCCTCGCTGCCAGCCAGAGAACGATCATCGCGCACGAGGTCAATTAATCCTACTCCGTAACACCGCTACATCCATAAGCCAAATAAAATAACCCTCTCGATCTCCCCAGTAGTATCCCATCAATTGATGAAGCGCAGCCCATAGATCGTTTCCTCGCTCTCAGCCAGAAGACGATGTGTTAAAGAGAAAAGATTGACCGGTGCAGGACACCGCAACCTTTTAACTTTAACACCGCTGCATCTAAACCCTCTATAAGCTAGATAAGCTATTCCCCCAGTAGTAGTACTGACTTATTAGAGCACAGCTTATCCGCTCCCTCGCTGGCAGCCAGAAGGCGGCAAAAAAAGGAAGCAAGGATAACTCTCTTGAATTTTATCCACAACACCACTGCGCTTGAGCCCACTATACGCTTTATAAAGCTGTATCCCCCCAGTGTCCGCCGAAGCTATAGTTTCCCTACCCTCGTTGACAAGTGTGAAGGAAGAAGACACCGCAAATATCACAGTATCTTCCTCGCCCACACCTGCTGTGCTCGGTATGGATTCATTCCGACATGTGTGTATATACCCGAAAATAAACCCCGAAAAGCATCCATGATCAAAAAATGACCATTCCCCCAGTGCCCACTTTGCCCACGGTTGCGCCCGTTCCCTCGCTAGATGCCAGAGAACGGCGTATTTAATAGGCAGCACTGTCGACATAATGAGATTGCGAACCAACTCGAGATCCGCCGCTAAACACATCTGCGCCCTGAACCGAAATATGCCGCTGGGTGAATCACCACCGCAGCGAGAAGTCAAGCCCCATTTGACTCCCTACCAAAAGAGAGTCTGAGTCTGTTCCCCCCAGTTCCAATTTGCCCCAATGAACCCCACTATTCTGCTCGTTCCCTCGCAGGATGCCAGAGAACGATGTGTTTATTGAAGAATTCAAAATAAAATAAATATGAATCCTTCAATGAACACCTATGCACCCTCTGTAGCTATATTTGTTACTGGGCGAATCACCAGCCACAGTTACAAAGTCAAGCCAAACAAACTCTTTACGAGAGTCTTGTTTGCTGCCCCAGTGCCAGCTTTCCCTCAGTTCCGAATATTCCCTCGTGTTCACTCCCCCACAGTGCCCACGCAGCTCTAATTGTCCCCTCACCGGCGGCCAGAGGACGACGTGTAGCAGGAGAAGAGAAAGAGTTCTTCCTCTCTTTATCTTCTTCCTCTACACTGCCACGTCTTTCTGCTGTAGATGATCTATGTGACCACCACAGCGACAGACCAATTCCCATTTTCTCCCAGTGCCCATTTTGCCCCAGTGCCAATTCGCCCACAGTGCCCACTTTCCCATAGTGCCCACGCAGCTCTAATCGTCCCCTCACCGACGGCCAGAGGACGACGTGTAGTAGACGAAGAGAAAGAGTCTCCTCTTCGTCTTCTTCCTCTACACTGCCACGTTTTCTGCTGTAGATGATCTATGTGACCACCACAGTGACAGACCAATTCCTATCTTGCCCCCAGTGCCTACTTGCGTTGTTGTTGTTGTTGTAGTGTTGAAAATGTGTGAGAAAAAAGTGATGGGAAAAAAGAAGAGAAAGAGCAAACGAGGGAGCGAAGAAACGGGACTTTATAGCCAAAGGGCTAAGCCCGAACCTTTGACAGATAAACCAGATTACAGACGCTAGTAAGTCACCGGGACTTTGCCGTTGGGTTGAGTTGCCCTAGTATCTGGGTATTGCGTCGTCAGCTACCCGTAGCCATACCCAACGAGCTGCTTGCTTAGCATGGCTGCGTACTAGCGTAGATGGTGCGGTAGGTACCGCAATTATCGGGGAACAGAAGGGCGACGTGTGTTTCTGTGTGCAGCTTCCTGCGGTGTTGTTGTCCACAGGCGTATAATCATGGATTATCACTCGAAGAAGTCACCCACGGAGTCTGGGTCAAACAAACCCCGCCAGCGCAGGATGAAAAAATGTCAGTCTATCGGGATGAGCTGCTGACGGGAGAGGCCCTCCAAGGTCCTTAGCCTAAAGTTACATATATCGTTAGCACTACATGTAGTTGGCTGTTGCCCTCTTGGCGCACTTCGGCTGGCTCTATCGTTACAATCAGCTTCCAACAACTCGCCACCATCAATCCCCTATTGTCATCGCAGCCGCAGTCACCGCTTAGATCTAGGGAGGATTTCCCTTTCCTTTCACCCCCACCTTGGAAGCACGTTTCCGTCAAGAAATTTCTATATGCGCTAGAGAAAATAAAAGTAGAGAAAATGAAAAATAAATTGGAAAAATTTGGAAAAAAAAGAAGCGGTGGAGGACTCCACCCACAAACAGTGAAAACAACGTGCAAATTATGGAAAGCCAAAAGAGAGCACCACAGGTAAGTCCCAACGAAGAATCAGCAGGTCAGCTTCTGCCGGTCCCGGGGTAGAAATCCAGATAGCAAGACTTGGAAGAGGTTGGACAGCTTGGCTCCTGGTAAGGAAGCAACAAAAAGATATGGAAACTGGATAGCGTACTACCACCGGACCGCGGAGGAGCATGGGCCTGATAAGTCTGCTGGATTAGGGCATTGAGTGTCGAGGAAGTTAAGGGAGTTATAGATGTCACATAGGTTTCTGCTCGTAGTCCACCATTGCTATGGTTTGGCGAGGAAACGAGGGAAAGGCTTCAGGTTAGCTCTAGCTCTCTCAATACCTAGTCTCGACGTCAGGAGGCAAGGGCCTAAGTCTAGTGAATCGAATTCAAGAATGCGGGGGGGGAAAAGGTTAGAGAGAGTGAGGCAGCCCAAAGATTCCGGACGATGTATCTTGTTTCTCTAGAAGAAGAGAGCTACTGCTGTCCCAAAAGATGCGGAGCCCCGGGTTTGAGATGCTGGCTTTCAATCTTGATACTCGATGCATGTAGCGCAAGTTACGATACTGGCCCTGAGATCCTCTTCTTCCCCAGCAACAATACGTTTCTGCCCAGAACTTCACGCAGACCAAATCGGTGAAACGCCTATCCGTAAAGTAGACCATAGAAGTTAAAGATCTAAGAGGTTCCAGAGGGTTGAGCTATGAAAGTGTAAAGAAAATAGCAGCGGCTGGGATAGACACTTATCTGGCCATATATGTCTTAACACAGAGTGTAGGAAGAGCTAGGGAATCCCGGGTAACCCTGCCCTTGGAGGTCGTTGTCAAAGAAACCTTTTATCCCCACAGCTAGTCTAGATACGAATGGAAAAGAGAAAAAAAAGAATGAAGAAATGCCTACCCACTGGCCGCGACGGGCCCGTAAGTACCCAATTGCTCCTTCTCGCCTTCTTATCAAATTATCAAGCCAAATCTGCCGCGGGATACGATAGCTATGGTTGCTGCCAATAATGGGTTGATGGCCACACTCGTCATTCATGGATAAGTGGGCTTTGAACTCAGCTGTGCTATGGATTTAGGAGTCTGCGCCTGCTGGTGGTATTTTGTAAGCTGCGAGGTCATAAATCATGGGAAGGCAACCAAACCACACCAAAATTCGCCAAAAATTGGCCTAAATACAACCACCACCCCACAACACAATTACCATCAATAATAAACAAGGCTTTGGGGGATGAAATAATGGCTATCAATTTTAATAAATCTAAAAGAGCACTCTCTGAAGTCAAATGTGGAAGAAGTTGCATGAGCTGGAAGTAGAGAGACTTGGAGATTTGGGTTTTGGGGCTTTTTTTGCAACTCAATGTAACAAAACCAACACAACTCATGCTAGAAGTGTAATATTGTAATTTTCAGCTAAGAGAGTGATTATTCATATACAAAATATATAGTCTTCCAATTCTCAGAAAATATCCATCGTAATTGGTGGTTGAGGACCGGGTTGAAAAGTGGCATTTTTGGTGTAAAATGGGCACCTTCCCATGGTTTATGACCCAAGCTTAAATCTACCCCTAGGCCTCGTAGTAGCATGTCTCTGGCTATAGTCCACTGGCCTCTCGCCACTATCGACAACACACATAGGCACAGCTCTATACAATCTAGGGGGGGCTTCAAAGGGGAACCTACATCATCAAAAGAAAAGGCAGGGCAGTACAGTAACGACTCCAGAAAGAACTGAATTCTTGAGCACAAAATGCCACCTACCTTTACTTCCCACGATCCGCTGCGCAGAGGTCAGCCACCCCGGCGTCCCTAGCGTCGCCGTAACTACATGTACTCGTTTTTGAATCAAAGGCCTCCCCTCCCCGAAAAGTGGCATAAAGTGGCATAGAGAAGAAGAGAAACAAAAAATACGCAAGAATCATCACCCAACCCACACTTCCGCATTCCTACATTCGGTTCTGTTCGTAGAAATATGTCCGCTCGAGCTTACATTGAATATACTTCTCAGAACAGAAGGGAAGCACGAAGCAGAAGTAAGCTGGGGGAGGAGCGGACTTTGTTCTGCTGAAGATGTAGCGATGGGAACATAAAATGGGTATAGATGGAGGAAGGTGGGTGAATGCGGTGAGGGGAAGGAAGAAGAGAGAGAGGTAGGGCAGACCTGGAAAGAGAACTTAAGGTAATATATGCCAAGGATAGACGGCGGCAGGTAGAGCGGGCTGGCTAGGGCTAGCTAGGACTACGTGTATGTGTCTGGACGTGGTCTACTTTCAGGTCTTTCTACTGCAATACATCAGCCAAGCTCTGAAGCCAGGCATTTGATAGCATACCATCTGATATATGTATCCACGTACAAGACGTACATGTAGCCCTGCCCACGTACATGCACGCGCTTCTACACTACGCAAGCAGTCCGGGGAGAAAAGATCTGCCCATACTGCCATATCGGCCAAGTCACAGGCAAGGTGTCTTATAACCAGGGCCTCTATATAATGTGTCTCCACCAACACACCGACTCAGACACTCGAGCTCTCCTGTAGAGTGTTGATTAGCGGCCCTCGACACCCAGCATTCGAGGCGAGTGATATTCAATGACACAGAGGCAGCCAAGGATTACGTGAGAGCGACCTCCGACTTGGCAACGTGTTGTTGCGACGAGCGAGCCGAGCTCCCGCGCAAGCGCAAGGGTTCAGTTAGGGTCCACTGGACGCTGGAGAAGTAACTAACGGAGAAGGAAGGAGAAGGAAGGAGGGAAGGGAAGGGAAGGAAGAACCAGCAATCAGCGCAGGCAACAGGTAGGGAGAGAGAGTGTGTGTGTAAGAAGAAAAAGAAAAAGAGAAAGCCTGGGAAGAGAAGCACAGACGGGCGAGGCTGATTTCCTACATACCTTGTCTGCTCTGCATTATTTTTACCTCACATACCTCACATACCTCACATACGTAGTGTTCTGCTCTATAGATATATATTATCCGGCACCCATCGATACATATCTCGTCCCCCTTCAAGTTCAAGGTCCCTATTATATTACCTACTTGCCCTTTCTTCTCTGCACTGCACTGCTTGCTTGCTTACCTGGTAGCTTTGTTGCCCTCTCTCCCGAAACCATCCAAACCAAGCCCCCCCCACACACCCGCCACTACATCCACCACAACTTAACCCACCACTACTTCTATTAGGGAGATATCCCTTTCCTACTCACTTTAGATGGCCAGCTCTTCCATGCGCCATGATAACCAACGCTCAAATGCGCCGCCCGGGTTTCCCACGCCCTCAAAGAGCTCTGTTGCGCCACCCACAGTGGATATGGACACCGTTGAGTTAAGGGATATGATGGCGAGCTCGCCGCCGCCCGAGCTGGAGCTCAAGGACGACATCATCAAGTTGAGCATGATGGGCGACGAGGTCGCCGTCAAGGCCCTTCTCGACAGAGGAGAGATCACTGCACGCTGGACCGACGCTGACGGGATCGGGCCACTACATGTGATTAACACCCCTTCCCCCCCCTCTCCCTCCCCCCCCTCCCTCCCTATATCAATTATCTCCCCCTCGCACCGCTGACAGATGTAGTGGGCTGCAATCAACAATCGCTACGCCGTGTGCAAGCTGCTCATAGAGCGCGGCGCCGACGTCAACGCAAAGGGCGGCGACTCGGTCTCAACTCCTGCCATGTGGGCCGCGCAACGCGGCCACTACTACACTGTCAACCTGCTCCTCCGGAACGGGGCCGACCCCCTACTCGCCGATAGCAGTGGCTACAATATCCTGCACCTGGCCACATTTGACGGGAACCTCTTGCTGCTGGTGCTGCTGCTGCACCAGGGCATCCCCGTGGACTCGCGCGACCCGCTGATGCACACAAGCCTAATGTGGGCGGCGTATAAGGGGTATGCGTCGAGCGTAGATCTGTTCCTGCGCTGGGGCGCGGACATACATGCGGTTGACGACAACGGCTTCACCGCGCTGCATTGGGCGATTGTGCGCGGCAACTTCGGGTGCATCCAGAAGCTCATCGAGTACGGCTCGGACCGCTTCGTCAAGAACAATGACGGCAAGACGCCGGCGCTTGTCGCCGAGGAGCTCAAGACGCAGCGCGTCTGGTGGGATGCGCTGGAGGAGTGCGGGTACGACCGCGATGGCAATCCGCTCCACCCCACCGGCACGATCCTGGGCGTGCGCGTGCAGGACAAGACGGCCGTGCTGCACAAGTTCTTCTTTTGCTGGCCGACAGTCGTGGTCTGGGCGGTCACGATGTGTCTGGTGCAGCTGCCGTGGTTTCTGGGGATTCCGGCGGCAGGCGCGGTGGGGGCTGGGTTGCACTGGGTTGCGGATAGGGCGCTGGATTATGGGGATGGCGAGAAGGCGATGTATAAAACACCCTACTTGGCAGGTATCTTTGGAGCGACGGCGTTCTGGATTGCAGAGAGATGGATTTTCCACATATTACCTAGTAATAACCCCTCCTTTGTGTATTACTTGTCCGAATATAAAAAAGAAAAAAAAGAAAAAGACATGGCTCCTACAAAAAGAAAGAAAAAAATGATGTGGGGGAGCATAAGTTGACTTTCTCTTCTCTCTTTGCGCTATAAAAGATACGTTTGGCACCGTCCCATTCAGCAATATATTCTTTGGCATTTTCTTCGGCTTCTGCGTCTACTTCTACATAGTTTGCATGCTCTATGACCCTGGATACATCCCGAAGCTCTCCAGCGTCACGGAGCAAAAGGCCGTGATCGAGGAGCTCCTGACCCTCTGGAAATACGACTCTGAGAACTTTTGCGTCCAATGCATGGTACGCATGCCCCTGCGCGCAAAGCACTGCAAACGCTGCGCCAGATGTGTCGCCAAACACGACCAGTCAGTCCCCCTCCTCCCCCTCCTCTCCCCGTCCCAAACCCCCCACTAACCACCCCACCACAGCCACTGCCCCTGGGTCTTCAACTGCATCGGCGTCAAAAACCACCGCCAGTTCTTCCTCTTCGTCCTCTGCCTCGAACTCGGCATCTTCATCCTCGTCAACCTCGTCATCACGCACTTCACGCTCCTCCCGCCAACCACCGGCTACCCCGTCTGCGCCCTCCTCGCGGAACCCTTCTGCTCACCCATCCTGCAGGACCCATTCACAGTCTACATCTCCCTCTGGGGCTGCCTGCAGACAACATGGGTCACAATGCTGCTCGTCGTCCAGCTCGTCCAGATCGCGCGCGCACAGACAACATACGAGAGCATGCACGGCAGCCGCCACCACGCCCACGCCCACGCAAGCTTCAACGAACACAAAGTCGCCGCCACCATCGCGTCCACCATCGCCGCCGGCTCATCGTCCATGGACGGCGCCCAGCTCACCCCGGACACCGCGGGCCCGACCCTGCCACCGCCCACGGCCACGCCCACCACGGCCACGGCCACGGGCGCGGCGGCGCACACAGCCATGACACGTGCTGGACAAAGGTGAAGAAGGCGCTCGGCGTGGGCGCGTTCGTGAACATCACGTCTGACCGCGGCGGCGCCGCCCGCGCGCGCGGAAACCCGTTCTCGAGAGGGGTGATTACGAATTGTAGGGACTTTTGGTGCGACCCGGCGCCGCTGCTGAGGCCGAGTCGGGAGGGGGGCGGCGAGGCGCTGCTGGGTGGGGGGGTGGTGGATTATTTTAATATGTATGAGACGCCGCCGAGGATGAGGATGCGTGGTGGGGCCGGGGCCGGGGGTGGGGCCGGGGGAGGTATCAGAGGCTGGCGGAGGAGGAGGAGGAGGTATAGTGCTTTGTTTAGATTGGATTGGGTGGAGTTGGGTTCGCGGGTATATCCAGTCGGGTGGAGAGGGGGGTAGAGGGCCCGCTTGTGGAGGAAGCTTTTGGTGCGCGTAGGTAGATGGTAAATAAAGAATCGTAATTTGTTGCGTTGTGTTGCTTTAGTTTGGTTTGCGGTTGTGGGTATGGTCATGGCTTGTCACTCGGTCGGGTTTGTAGTGCTAGTTTAGTATAGTGTAGTGTAGTGATGTAGTGTAGTGTAGGGGCGCGAATACCAAGATGAAAAGAAAGGTTTGTATGTAACTCAACTCTTAGTACATGCATTTAGATTAGTATGTACGGAATATCCATCTGTATTGGTGGTGTTGATGGTGATTGGTGTTAATGGTTGGCACTGATGGAGTACTGATAGTACTGGTCGGTACTGATGATGGGTACTGATGTTGGTATGGTACCAATGCCCATCATTGGTACCTGTGTTTAGTACTCCTGATGTGAACTGCTACCTGAGAATATAATAGGGGGTTCGTATCCGCAGCGACTAATGACTAAGATATATAGCAATAATCACTCGGCTCGTGCTACAGTCTCAATATAGCCAATTCAGATCACTTCAATTACTACTAGCTACATAGCTACGTGTAGCTACGCACACCACCGACCCCACGCCCCGGATCCGAACAACCCTCGAATCCAGGCCTAATTAATACATTTCCTATCACCCCCACCACTACTCCCCCCCCCCCTTTCCCTCCTCCCCTATTCCACCCCCCACCACTACTTCCCCCCTTTCCCCCCGCTCCCCCCATCACCCGGCCACTCCCCCCCCGCCGCCCCATCATACACCTTCCCACCCCTCCTCCACGCCCCCTCCATCTCCGCATCCCTCACACCCCCACCCCGAATGATACCCACGGCCTTGTCAACCTGCACAGAGACAAGACACGCATACCCGAAGCCGTGGGCGAACATGAACACGCCCTCGTCGCACTGCGCCACGATGCACCCGGACGCCCACTCGCGCCAGAAGCCGCTGAGACCGGCGTTGTGGAGGCCGAAGCGGCGGTGGAGGTGTTTGCGGAGCGCAGTGGGGGTGGTGTGGTAGGGGGTGAGGTGGTGGGTGCTGTGGAGGGGGTGAAGGCGGTGGTGGTGGTGGTGGTGGTGCGGGTGCGTGGCATGAGGGTTTGAGGGGGTTGATGGTTCTTGATGGTTCTTGATGGTATTTTTTGATGGTTATGATGAGGACGAGTGATATGAAATGAGGCAGATGAGATCGAGATGAAGTGAGGTGAGGTGAGATGAAGTTTACAGATCAAAGCCCCAGTTCAAGACGGGACAGACACGAACCAGCACTACATATACTAGCTCGGGCCACGGTATATACATGTAACCAGCATGCACACACACATACTCTGGGGCAGCAGGGGGCTGTCTCGGGCTTGCATACTACATGTATGTACATTTTGTGTGTGTATGTATGTGGATGTATGTATGTGCACGTGGTCGCCAGCCTGTGGTGTGGAGGGGAATGCACGCGCCGAGTGATGGGCTGTGACTAAATATGATGCGGGTGATAGCCTGTGAACCAGCGATCATTGACCCCCCCCATACCTGCGCTGTAACGTCCCCCCGCCCTTACTCACACCGCAGATAAACACCCTCTCCCCCTCCCTCCCTCCCTCCCTCCCTCCTCCCCGCCCGCCAGCCGGTTCTGCTCCACTCAGTCTACAGCCCCACCAAGCCCTTCACTATAAACAACACCATCAGTATCCCCTCCTACCAAAAAACACAAAAAAGGCCAACTTACACGCCCCCACAACAACCGGCACAGCCGTCAACCCCACCACCGCCACCCCAAACACCACCATCGCCACCCCGCCCAACGCCGCCCCCCTCACATCCCCGCCCCCCACCAACGCCGCCGTCGCAATCGCCCCCCCATTCACCCCCATCGCCACCCCCCTCGTCACATAGTCCCCCTCTTCACGCCGACAACCCGTAACACCCCGCCGCCCACGAGCACGCCCACAATCCCACTCATGATGCACAGCACAGCCACCAAGTTCGCGTCGCCGCCCAGGTTCCCCACGGCCGGCAGCGCCAGCGCGAGCGTGAGGCTGCGCGCGCCGAAGGCCAGCGAGCGGGTGGGCGCGAGGCCAAGAAGATGGCAGAGCGTGGGGTAGGCGAAGAGGGTTGCGGCGGCGAGGGTGGTGCTGGGGAGGAGGATGCTGGGGAGGTGGGTGTGTAGGGTTGCGCGCTGGGCGTACATGGGGAGGGCGAGGGAGACGATGGACGCGTCGAGGAGGGAGGCGAAGATGTCGCCTGCGCCTGGCAGCGGGTGGGGGTGGTTGCGGAAGAGGGTGAGGTAGCGCGTGGAGGTGGAGTAGGTTTTGAGCGTTGCTGCGAGCGGCTGGTGCGCGGTGAGGGAGAGGAGGGTTAGCAGGAGGAGCGTGAGCAGGGAGGTGGTCAGCACGGGGTGTAGGATGCGCCGGGCCTTGGCGGGGAGGGAGAGGGAGAGCGTGTAGGTGAGCACGTTGAGCGCGAGGTGTAGTGGCATGGCGTAGGAGGTGGTGTAGAACACCACTACCCCCACCAGCAGGAGGAGCGAGTACACGGCGGTGTCGAGATGGGTGGTTAGGAATGCGGCCCACCGCTGTGCCCGGGCTAGCGGCGCACCCTCTTGCCGCAGGATGGACAGCAGCGCGGGCGTCTGTGCTGCGAAGGCGCATTGGGGGCCGGGGCCGCGGAGGTGGGTTGGCTCTGCGGCGGGCTGCGGCGGGGGAAGGGTTGGGAGTGAGGCTTGGGGTGTGGTGGTGGTGCTGGTGTTTGTGGACTGCGCTGGGGGAGCGGGGGTGTTGGTGAGGGGGATCGAGTCGGAGGTGCTTTCGGAGGAGGTGTGCTCGGGCTTGGAGGTGTGGAAGAGCGCTTGGAGCGCTTGCACCATGTAGGCGGTGATGACGAGCATTACGACGAAGCCGATTACTGCGTGCGTGTGGTGGTCAGTATTGGGTATTTAAAGATAGTATGTGGGGGGCTGACTGAAGATTGCGATTATCTTGCCGATCTCGACGCCGCCGATGCGCGGGCTGAGAGGGAGGAGGATGAAGCTGGGGGTGAAGAAGACGTTGATGTAGCGTAGGGCGAAGCCGGTCTATATATAGTGTAGATATTGAAGAGTAAGTAAAACGCGGTTAATAATGAAGGCATGAGGGCATTAAGGCTTTAGTCGGAGGACTAAAGCCCCCAGCACAAAATAACAAAAATTGCAAAACGATTGTCACTACGCCAACAAATCAAGTTTTAGGCTCAGTCTTCCCAAACCCAATCTACCAGCAGCCACAATCATTTCCCCCCAAAGAAAACACCAGTCAGTACTCACCGGCACATCCACAACCCCCACCACCCGCCTCGTCCTCCGCTCCCCCAGCACCGCGCGACACCCCACCAGCCCCGCAAACAACAACACCATGCCCGCCACGCTCGCGGGGAACGACACGCCCGTCAGCCGGATGACCGAGTCGACGCCCCAGCACGCGAGCAGCATCAGCAGGATCCCCGCGGGCGTGTACACCCACGACACTAGCAGTCGCCGCCGCGACGTGCGCAGCGTCTATAAATGTTAGCGTGTGGCCCAGTTGGGAATGACTCAGGAACGGATGGAGCATACCAGTGAGAGCGCTAGGAAGGCGTCTGATAGTGCGGCTATAGCTAGGGATGGCCGGCGGGCGGTCAGGTACGGCGACGACATGTTTGTGTGGCCCTGGGAAAATACAAACTACATGTATAGCTGTAAATGAAATAGAGTCAATTGCCGGAGAAACCCCATCTTTTGTCATTGACCAACCTCGGCTGAGCTCGGAGAGATAATGCGGTGTCTGCTTGTGGTTAGTACCAGGGACTAGATGTAGGTAAGCTTTTTAGCGTGCGTGAGCTTAGCTTAACGACGACATTTGTTGATATTAGATAAACCCCCCCCCCTTGAGCCTCTCTTCGATTATACACAACTGAAGCTCTCCCCACGAATTGCCCACAATCCAGCTTAATTCCCACAACGACAAACAACACAAAATGGACCCCCCCCCCCAAGCCCAATCGCACCTCCTCCACGAGCTCAAGTCCCACCACATCCCACTCACCAGCGACGACGTCTCCTGGGCATTCAGCAACCCCAAGACCGCCGCCCCAGTGATTGACTGGGTAGAGCGGTACCTAAGCCACGACACCCTCCTCTCTCTCGAGGAAGCCGAGATGTAATCCCCCCTCCCCCCCCCCCCCCTTCCTCCCCACCCCCAACAGCATCCTGCTCACCTTCCCCCCCCCCCCCCCACAGCTACAACCACCTGAAAAAGACCGGCGCCCTCACAAAGCTGCAAAAGCAGCATCCAGGCCTCCACACCGTGCGTCCGCGGTCCGAGGACGAGCTACGAGCCGAGACAGAGCGGCTATCGCAGTCGACGGAGCTGCTGCGGCGGCAGACGGCGCAGCTGCGCAGGCAGGGGGCGGCGGTGGGGGGATGAAGACGAAGCTGCGGGAGGAGGCGGGGAGGGGGAGGAGCATGGAGGAGCGGCGGAGGAGGAGGTGGAAGGCGGAGATGGAGGGGGAGCAGAATGCTGTGAGTTTGGCTTGCCCTCTCCCCTGGGTTTTTCTTATGTGTGTGTATGGGGAGAGAGGATGAGTGGATGGATGGCTGACAGGGAAGCGGGGAGGGAGGGGGGTAGATTGATGATTTGCTGGGGATACTGCGGGAGGAGGTTGCAGACTTTCGGCGGGACGGGAGGGCGTCGGCGGTGGATGTGGAGCGGGTGGAGAGGATGCTGCAGAGTGATGACAGGGTGCTTGGGCGGCTGGGCCGGCTGGCGGACGGGGTTATCGTCAGTGGGGACGATGAAGCTGGGGGAAACGAGGTTGTCGAGAGGGTCACGGTGCTGGTCAAGAAGTATGTATGGATCTTTGCTTTTTTGCTTGCTTTGCTACTCCCTTGATCCTGAATCCAAGCTCTAATCTTATCGCCCGTTACCCCACTAGGCTATCAACGCTGTCTGCCGCCGCACTAAAGGCCCGGCTGGACCGCATGTTCCTCGAAATCGTCAACCCGAAAAACAACACCACCACCAATCCAGCGGATGCAGACGCCATTGCGGAGCTCAAGCAGGACCTGGGAAGTCTATACTCCGAGATACCCTCGGTGGCGCAGATGGCCGCGGAGCAGGAATACCTACGGCCAGTTATCAAGGAAGTCGAGAACGGGAAGAAGAAGGCGAGTGAAGGGCTACAAGTTGGCGGCGCATATGTAAGTATAAGTATCCCTCTTTCTCAAGCGCGGTATCAAAACCCAAGCAAAAACACTCACGCCGCATGTCAATCCCCCCGCAGATTTGCGACGTGCTAGCGCACCTGCAGAAACGCAACGCCTCCGCCGCCCAAAAGCTGCAGCGCGACCTCGCGAAAGCACGCGCGATAGCGCAGATAATCGCCACCATCGAACAAGAGTCCCACTCACCGCTCACCAAGCACTCCGCAGCCCCACCCCCACCAGCAGCAAACGACGACACCCCTCCCCCTTCTTCCTCCGCCCGCCCCGCAACACCAGTCAAGAACCCACACCCACACCCCTTCAAAAACATGCCCATCTTCACCCCACCCACCCGCAGCCACCGCCGCCGCAGCGGAAGCCTCGGCGGAAACGCCGCCACAGCCGTCACCGCCGACGACGAGCTCCCGGAGCTGAGAATGCTCACGCTCCTAGGCGTCCCCGTGCCCTCCGCCCCGGCGCAGACTGCCAGCGCGTTATTCGCCTCGCCTGTCAAAGGCGGCAGCCCCGCAACATCCTCCCAAGAGCCGCCGGCGGCAGCATCGAAATACACATACCTACCCACCCACATACGTCAGCAATCCACCAAGCTGCAGACGCAGGAGTCGGCAGACGTCTCTGCCTCGTCCGAGATCCGCAGCGCCGTCGACGAGTTCTGGAATGTCTCCAGGACCGCGCAGCAGGCGTTGGTGTGGGCGAATGTGTTTCCACCTGTGGGGAGGCGGCGCGGGGTGATGGGGTTTGTGGCGGAGGAGCTGGTGGAGGGGCTGGAGGGGGTGGAGAGGCGGGTTGGTGGTGTTGCGGGCAGGATGGGGGGGCTTGGGAGGGGGCTGGAGGAGTTGCAGAGGAGCGGGGGGGACTTGGTGGGTGGGGGGGGGAGAAGAGGGGGTTTGTGGAGAGGTGGGGGGGGCATTGATGTGGGGGGCTGTGGGATTTGGGGGGGGGCGTAATGGTGTACACAGTCTGGTAGAATTATTGCGAAAGAGTGGGCTTCTTGGTCCGTGCTTACTGCAAAAATTCCTTTAAGGGCCAATCCAATAGGACTATCGGGTCACGGGGAACCAACCCACTTTCGTAATAATTTCTACCGGCCGTTGTAATAATTCCTCCCTCTCTCGGGGGATGTTTGGATATTTGCTTTTTTAGTTTGCTAGAGAGTGCTTTATCACTTACATGCTATCAGACACCATGAGAGTCGCCTTAAGATGAATGGAACCTACATTTCTACCCAGATGGCGGGGGTTTGTGGTAGAGTCCCTTCGAGTTTGATATGGATGTGTACAAGTATGCACGTATACGAAGGTTATCGTGAGTAATGGCTCTGGGCATAAGATTTGGGCTGGCATAATTACATGTATCAAAATGGGAATCATGCAAAGTACATACATACATGTTTACACCTCAACTCTTCAGGAAACTTAGTATGTAGCAGAAAGTAGAGGTGATCATGAAACATGTGCTTCGTATTGCAATGACCATGATGCGTGCAATCCCTGAATGAAGGTAGATTTTATATCTAACGGAAAGAGGTCTAAAATAACACAGTTTTTCGGTGGATGTGCTCTACAATAACACATGACTCAAGATGTCACAGTTCGCTATAATCCGAAATGAATATTTGATATGGAGGGTTAGGGGTTCTGCTTCATCTTGGCACATGAGTGCCAAACTCAAATATCACCTCACGCACAGCATCCACTATGGGGCGAGTGGTCTAGTGGGTACATGTAGTGGCCAGACTCCTCGTCGACAGGTAAGACATCGCGTGTTTGGGCAAGGTCTTGAGCTCAAACCAAGGGTGGGGATAGCATCGAACACTTAGCAATAAGTCGTGTATGTACTTCTTTTGTTCTTTTTTTTTTTTTTTTTACGGAAAAGGCCTGAGATGACACAGTCTTCGGTATACGTGCTCCGAAATAACACATGATGCAAAAAGACACAGTTCGCTGTCACTACAAGTAAAAAAAGAGAGCAAAGCGTTCTACAAAACTACAAAAGGTACTGCAGCGACTTATTCAGACATTTGCGACTGCTACCCCCACCCCTGGTTTGAACCCAGGACCTTATGTGTGATTGGTTGTATCCTGGGTACTCTCGGTGTCTCGCCTGACGAGCAGTCTATCCACTAGACCACCCGCCCATAGTGGATGCTGTGCCCGAAGTGATACTTGATGGCAGTGTGCCAGGATGGAGGTCGAACTTAGACCCTGACCCTTCGATATTATTATTGTTTAGCCAATACGTATACTGATTGATGTATTCGTTTTGGATTATACCGAACTGTGTCATCTTGCACTCATGTGTTATTGTAGAGCACGTCTACCGGCCGGAAACTGTGTCATTTTAGACCTTTCCCGTTTTTTTATTGTTTTTTTCTAGTGAGATAAATTAGGAGGCTGTTTCGGCTTTTGATCCCCCTCGAGAAGGAAGAGGTGAAGTCGAGTAGAACTTCTAGTACGCAAAGCGGATATACATGATAGAGTTAAAATTGGCTCGGCCGTATAGTATGTACTTATTAGTAGATTGATACGCATGCGCAGATTCCTACATAGTACATACTCCCTGGATCTCAACACAGCTCCCGGTAGAATCGTGGAAAACAGGGACAACGATCACGCCGAGAACAGGGCAATTCTCCAACGTCACATTTCCGCAATAATTCTACCGGGGGCTGTACAAGTACTTTAAGTTCGCGCTTTGTTGCACAACCTGTCTGAGTTTATGTCATGAAATATCACTCGGAATTCTCACTACTAATCAAAGCTAGTCCTATTTAAGGTGGGTGTCTACGATATCCTATAAACCGTCGATACAGACCTGATACATCCTTCTCTAGGGTAATACACAATTAGAGACAACAGATCCTATTATAATTTCTGATCCTCCACCGATCTTAAGATCTCACTGCGGCTTTTGTCTTGCAGAACCAGGGGGTGTCAGCATCGAGTGCGGTTTATATAACATGGGATATTCGTGGATTACTTATAGGAAAACTTCCGTGTGTTACCACCCGAGATTATATATCAGTTTCTTCTAAATTGACTCCCTATACCGGCGCCGAATGAAGGCCAGAGTTTGCAGCGTTATTTTTCATCATATTTTTTTTTTTTTTTTTTGTAGTGCAGTATACGTAGATGTCAATGTTATTTCCTGGTGCAGCATGATATCATATCGCTTCCTGTATCGATCTCTTTCCCTAAAGTCGAAATCGGGTATCCAGCTGAATTAGATGACAGCGGTCGAAATGAAAACTCTTGGTGTCAGAAGTTACAGGCGTTGACGGTCGATCACTCGAAGAATTCTGAACCGGGGTTTTAATTATTGCAAGAAATAGCCAAGCTGCGGGACTTCTAGATTTCTTTTTATTTCTATTGGCCCAAGCTTCCACTGATCTTCGGCAGGCCGCGGTATTCGTCAAGTGACCGTGAACATTAGTTCCACCCTCATCCCAACAAAACCGGCCGCGGATATGCCCACCTATCTACCCACCTACAAGTATCGAAATGGGACAGACATATCTGCGCTTATCTAGATCTTAGCTACGGCCGGCGAGAAGGCCAAGGGACCAATGAATTGCAGTGCAAAGCTTAAGCGTACGCATCAAGAAGAAATGCGCATCGATCCAGAGCTGTATATATAACCTCCGGGTCATATAATATATCTGCATGCATGATAACGTCAACGGACATCGACATATATATATATGCGCTCTCGATATAGGGCACAAGGATTCTGGCCGATATACCCCGTGCGCGGTGCCCCTCCCTCATCGCGCACTCAACTAATGTACTCCCCCGCTTCTCCACATATGCAGGGTGCTGAAACCGCGGCACGAGGCGGGGCACTGAAAGAAATAGCAAACGGGGCACTACCAATTGATATGGAGATCCTATGCATCGGGAGGGGACAGGTGGGAGTGGCGTATATAGCATATTGAACTAGCTATGCGAGTCTAATAATGACGCCTAATTGCTTTTTAGTAACTTTATCGCCATTTCATGTGCGCTTGTGTCGAGAGATATACTCGGGGTAATAGTTAATAGAGTTATTGTCATTTCGAATCCTGTTTACATGAGTAGCCTCGTACCCAGCCCGTTGCTTGCAGCAAGCTGCCCAACGCAGGAAGCAGACGGGTTGGGGGCAAGCCTATGTTTACAGTAATGGCGTTGCAACAAGACTTCATGCGGAGGGATACGGGACTGAAGCGATCAGGCGAGTGGACAATGATAGTTGGGAATTAAAGTTATATTATGACGAACTTTGGATATATTCATCGATGAAGAGTTTTCTTCTCCCAGTATTTGGGTAATGATTGAATTTTTTGCTTCTTACTGCGGCTATTTTCTATTAATTTCAGAACTTTTGTTTCAGGCCACTGTAAACAAACATGGGTACGATCAACCATAGCCTGTACGAAGTGTTAGCTACATACTGTGACTTCTAGAGCAGCAAGAAACAAATTTGTTTCCCACTCCACTACACTTTGCCCGCTCTAGTTGCACTTAAGTTTGGGATGGGATGCTAATCAATTTGCGCCTACTTAACCGCCCTCGCACATGAAGATCCTTGCCTTCTTATTGAAAATTTTCCTGGCTGTCCATGCACTTCAACTCAGCTCATCGCAGACTCCATGGTTCGATGACGATCATCAGTTTGGTTTTGATTTTTTGATTTTTTTTTGGTTTTTCCTATTCTTCTAGGGTCACGCTACCATCTTTGCATCATAGCCGATCACTCGCCATGGCGATCCGGATGTGCACTTTGTTTCGTTTTTGTTTGTTCCACGGGCTACTCTACTTGTAGTATGCACGTCTAGGCCAACATTGAAGGCTTAATCTTAACACAATCGTTTCGCCTCGCTAGCGGTACTTGGTTTTAGTTCTCGGCAAAAAGCCTAAAATGTGGCTTGCGGTTGAATTTGCAAGGTCACACGAGTATGCACTTTGAGGATTAGCTAAAACAGGACTGCTCGAGCAATCTAAACATCACATATAGCTTTTGAAACTATAACACGCACTACGTAGGTAGAGTTAAGAGCAACATTATTGACAGCCGTTTAGTTCTCGTGATGTCTGTCAACGTCAACGTCAACATCCAACCTTCGTTTTCTCCCTCCGTGTTTAGGGCAAACAACCCTTATATCTCTTTACGAACTGAGGTATTCCTATCTCTTGGAAATGCACTTTATTAGTCTTCGACCTTTCAGGAGATATTCTTTATTGCAACTATAGCAGTCTCCACACCAGCCAAAGACGTTGTGCTGTTAACACCAACGGTATTCTGATAATCCTATTCTTTACCGACTATTAATCTCCTGGTGATAGACTTGCCAGATTTAGATGAGGAAACATTTGAAAGCTTATTTCCAATATCACAAGCAAAAGTCTCATCCCAAATACCTAAGGTCTGTCTTACCATATGCTCGCAACAACCCTATGCACGATCGACTTCGCCGAGCTTCAATATGCCCAATAAGGAACCATCTGAGATTCTGGCTACACAGCTTCGAGACATCGGTACCTACATTTCGAGATGGCCTGCTGGAGCCATCATGCAGACCCAGTCCGTTTTGGAAGCTGTCTACATCTTTAGAGTACGGGTATGATCGAGATCCCTTATAAAGGGGTGGTCCGTATGAAGGTTTTCTTCGGCTGTGTTTGGAACCACGTGAACACGTGCGTCTCCTAGGCCTCCCCACACAAAGTCCGAGCCTTTAAGTTTCAAGTGAGTCAGATATAGCTCTACGGCTTTCATCGGGAAGTTCACAAGACCGAGGATAAACCAACCAACTCGAGCTTCTCGGAGGGATGGACAGCTGTTAACGAGGCCCGAGAAACATTGGAAGGGAGATCTTCACCTGTCCGTCCGGATTGCAATATTCGTTGCCCCATGTCTTCTGACCTGTGGATATGCTTCCTAAGAGGGAACAATTTCAACTATTGAGTTTTGACGTTCCTTAACTCTCCCAGCCTCTTCTAGAGGGCTAAGAGTATTGAACGTCCTCCAACTAACCCAAACGACGTCTCCGGGCGCCGCCGGGATGCAGCTAGAGCCAAGACTTGGGCTTTAACATTCCAGATTTTTTTCATATCCCCAAATAAATCGAAATACTATGACAATACTGCACCTATATTGCAGTCATATCCCTGGTTATACCGATCACGGGTTTTCGGTATATTCTCCATGTATTACTCCTTACCCGGTTTCTAGATGGGGGTTGGGAGTAAGAGGAAGAAAGTTCCAGCTTCCATGTACATTTTGACTTGCCCAGGAGGTGCATATACACGATCCCTGTCCCCACACAACATAACCCGAAAGCCGCCGCCGGGCGAAGATTTATGCGCGGGGACAGAGATGCGATGAGCACAAGCGATGAGGAGAGATGGGTAAATGCCTAAGATGGAACATGGGGAGATGGGAAGGGGGAGGTTTACCGGCGATGTGTTGCCGTGGGCACAAAAAAATCTGGGGTTTCCGGTTGAATTCGAAAGGAACTTTTCCAGCCCTTTCAATTTTGCCTCCTACACCACCATTTGCGGTACGGGGCGAGACGAGAGCGCACTGGCCTTGTAGTGCTCTTTGTTTAGTTCAACGGTTCGTATCGTGGCCGTTGTTTAAACTTGTCAATCGAATTGCGCGAAACATCTGTGTGGAGCTGAACAAGCCAAAACTAAGAAGCTAGAAACAAGACCCTGCGGAAACTTCGGTACTAACTCGGTACTAAAGTAGCCCTCGAGACTAGTCAGCAAAATAGGGCAAAAGGAAAAGCACCAATGGTAAGTCCGACCACCTCGGGGGTTCGGGAAATAAATCTCACGATCATTGTCGTCAGCCAGCGCGGGAAACGCAGGGTCCTTCTGTTTACAGGCGGCTGAAACAGGATATGATATGCCGCCTAGACTACCCTGAAGTGACTATTCCTACATCTAGAGTAGGTAGTGACCCAGTCTACACAACCCCCGACATCCCTCGTGATGGTATTTCAGATCCAGAACAGTTACAGCACGGCGAATGAAAAAAAGTCAACCATCTATTCATGGGATATACCGCAGCACAAGACGAGAAAAAAAATCTTTAGAAGAAACGGCTAAACCTACCTACTATGCCATAGGGTCCTGACGTTTTCTAGTTTCCATTGCACCGCACTGAGGCCTCCCTAGTACCAGAGTAGAGCATGTACGTGTGGCGGGGTGCTTCATGTACAATTCGTACGTTACATACACATGATGTCTGCGCATGCGATGGATGAGGTTCAGTAAGGGGAAGCGAGAAGCAGATCGGAAATGCGGAGGAAAAGGCGTCAGCCACGACTCAAAAGCAAAGGAAAATATAATTCGAAAGGGTAAGGGAAAAATAAAAAAGATGGGGAAAATCTCAAGAGTTGCATCTGATGCCATACCTCTGAGCACGGTCCTAGAGTTGAAGGGAAAAAAGGAAGCAAAGAAAGAAGATAATTAGCTAATGGGTATAGCAGAATAATTCAAACCAAACCGTAGAAGCACGGGAAAAAAGAACGAAGGGAACCCATGTGCAGCCTGGTACAAGATACTGGACGGGATGGGTGACTTGCAATTGACGAGTGAGAGACTTCAAAAGCAAAAATTGCCTACTCGAGATTCAAACATCCCCATAAAGAGACCCGTAGAGAAAAGCAAAGATTAGCCTCCGGACTTGAGGCTATTCGGGATTTTTTTTATTTAACATCTTCTGACCATTTCCAAAGAGGTGCCTTTGAAGCGCCGCATCTCTACTTTATTGTTGCAGTTGCAGTTGCAGTGCAGAGTGCAGTCGCATCTCATTTCCTGGGCTTTGATTTCCTCATCCCCCCACACACACGCCCCGCTTAGGGTGGATTTCCAAGGGGTGTGTCTACTATCGTGTGTTTTCTTCTCTTTGCTCTTTATGGTGGTTGTTTTACTCCCGCCGCCTGGAGTCCAGGACCTCCCGCGTGACCTCGGCAGAAAATTTTGGACCCCCGGACTGGATGGACCTTGATCCGAGTATTAGCTCACGATACCGGGAGTCCGGGAACGAAGGAAATTTTCATATTGACAGTAGCGGTTGACAAGGGCCGTAGTTGTTAGTAGATACATGTAGTTCCTGAGAGGTTAGTGGTGAGCGCAATCCCGCCCCTTGCAATTGCAGTTGCGTTCAATTGGGGGAACATCACCTGCGTAGGACAGCTGCCTACCAGAGTAGAAAGGAAAAAAAAAAAAAAAATAGGTACATGATACATTTCCGGCGAGTCATCTAACCATCCCAGGGGTGGTAATTGGATTTTTCAACAATTTATGAATTATGATCACTCAGCTGCCATTGCAGCAGCATCGTCAGTCCGTACGACAAGTCAGCTTGGGGAAAGATTCACATACTGAAGGCGGCGGATAGGTAGAAAGTCGTGCATGGGGATGGGCCATGTGGAGAGTAACCGAGAACTGATGTCAAGGCAAAGCGAGATGAGAAATGCGATTGTAAAATGTACGAAGCAAGCCATATTTTTCGAATTGTCCTCTCAAGAGCCGTGTCCCAAACAAAAGCAAGCGTTGAAATGACGATCAAGGGTCTATCCAAGGGACAACAACGAAGCGGACAATCATTATCATCGTGAGAAAAGAAAAAAAAAGGATGGGAAAGTAGAAACATTTGTTTTCTCAACTGTCACGAGGCTCAATTGTACCTACGATGGTTGTCAACTTATGACGTCCTCGTACGTCCGCTTTGTGGGGATGAGGGGGAAGAGGTGAGAAAGAGGCGGGTGGAATCAATCACAAACCCTGGTAATAGTGATTGGTCCGTTTTCGAGGGTTCGTTTCTCTCATGCAGGGACTCTCCTTCCAGAAAAACCAGTTACTGTTAGCTAGCTAGTAGTAGCGGCAGTTTATGGGGGCGAGAGGGCAACGCCGGTCCATGCCCGCAACCCTCCGGCTGCGCTAACTCGTTAATCAGCATTGAACATTACCAGGTGGGGCAGCACCCCGCAATTCTTTCAAGATCATTTACTGGACATGAGAGATGAAAGAGATGACGGTGGGCTGGTTCGATATCGACGACGGTATACGCCCCTTCCCTTTCCTACTTCAGACAGAGTTAACTCAAAACGCATGTGGTAATGTGCAATCTATTGGCGAGGAGGGTCTGGAATAACGCCCCGGTGTAGGGATAGCCAAAACCGTTAATCTTGTGGCTCAAGAAGAGACTACCCCCTCCAGACCCTGGCTTAGGAGATTATGGACGGCATCTCGGATTCTTCTCCGTGTCTACACGTTGTTTAAAATTTGGAATCGAGACCAGGGAAAGACGAGCTGCATGTACTGCACTACATATGTCGTTTCCACGACAGAAGATAGAACGCTCGATAGCTCGATAGCCCCATAGAGGGTACATTGGGTGAAGTGGCCAAAGAGACTAGAGAGATAGAGAGGAGAGACAACAAGCTCAAGATAGACAAACAGATAACAAACAAACGAATAGAAACACGACTGACCGACAGAAGGGCAGCAACAGAAGAGCATTGACATAGATACAGATCTGGCTGAGATCGGCCCTCCAACCTGGACCTCCTTACATCCCCCCTCCCCTCCGTACCTTCAATTTACTATCATTCATTCCATCCTAATTACACGTCTATCTGTGGATGTACGAGATGTAAGTGGAACAAATGAAGCAACAGCGGGTGGGTACGTCCGCGGCGGCAGCAAGAGCAGTATGTACAGCAGCCCCTTGAGTTAGAGCCCTGTTAGTTAGCTGTTCGGAGGCCGCAAGGAGTCCGCAACCGGTCCCTTTTTCGGGCTTGAGCAGTTGAACGGACCCTCACTCGCTGCTGCGCTGTCAGTTTGGGGTGAGATGCGGTGCTGATAACTGCTACTGTTGGCTGGCGTATTTGTCTCTCACATCTGTTGTCTCTTTCGGCCGTGCGGTCTCATGTGTATTTCTCCGCTGTGGTTCCGAATTCACCCCCCCCCCCCCCCTTCCGTGTTTTCCTAGCTTAAGCTCCATTGAAGGATTGCATCGTTTCGTTCCTATTAAGATTCAAGAATTTTACGACGTGTCTCTTTTTTTTTTTTGGAGGGTAGAGGGCACGAAAAGGAAAACAGGGCTATTCTTCATTGTCAATCAATCGGGATCGAAAAAATCGCGAAATCGACCGAACGAGAAATATACCCAGCGACAACAGGCAATAGGAAAGAACACAGAAGAGACACAGAGAGAGTGAAGGGAATTAATCGTAGGGCTTCGAAAATTAAAGAGAGCGAAAGGGTAAAGGAAAGAAAGAAAGAAAGAAAGAAAGAAAGAAAAAAAATACCTTTACAGCATTGGTATCGTATCATGTAGTGGTAGTTACACTAAGGGTCCAGGTAGCATGAGCCAGGTAGGGCAGCAGGCAGGTCAAGTCTCAGGTCAAAAGAAAGATAAATTTGAGCGGAATTAATATCGATCAAGCTTCGCTCACAATCTAAAACCGAACGGCACTTCTCTTTTGTGGCAGAGCGAAATGGATAGGTCAGCTGGAGATGCCTAACTAAAGTAGAGTGTCTACTCAATCAATACTTGACTACCTCTGTACGGAAACACTTACTATACCATACCTGCTGTCTGCCTACATGCCATCCATACCCACTTACCTACCTCCCCTACCCACACACCCCGCCGCTCAACCGACTAGTTAGTGCAGTGCCCTGGATTCCTCGCTCGAGGACATATTTCAAGCATCATCTGCATAAGAGAACTATATAACACAGCAAACGCCTCATTTGAATTTGGACTTCCGCATAGCATATATTCTACATACAACCTGCCTACAGCCTACTAAATTTGCTGTTACCACCACCTACTACTCTACAGACGTACTACATACAGATCACTGTTTGTCTATACATACTTACCTGCTGCACCACATCAAACCTTACCCACCTTACCTGACTTGACCTTATACACATTATTATACATTAATACGCAAGCCCCAGAGAAAGCTCTCTCTATCTGCCAGTCTATTATATTATCCCAACAGTATCTGTCTATTTAAGTCTTTTCGATCATTGCAACATAAAACATAGACAGCTCTTCGTTGAAAAGCAATCAAGAAATCCAACGACCAAGAAAACGATACCTCATTCATACCTCATTTACACCTGTCACCGCAGAAGCGCGCATCCGTCTCCGGGGCAATAATCAACCGTCATATTAAATAGTAACTAAAGCAGGCAGCTCGTTGTGTCGTTTTTGTTGCTAGTGGTGTTGTCGTAGCCTGTACGCCCCTAATTATCAGTCCAGCCAACTTCGGCCATTCTATCCTTCGGGTAACCCAGTATTCACCGTGGCGGCCACCGACACTCTTCTTTCGCAGCATGCCTGCCATGCGGAAGCCCTTCTTTCAAAACTACGTACTTCGACCTACGGAGGAAGGAAATTCTCTCCAACAAGCTTCAACACTGCCATCGCAATGAGTTCTCCATTTGCTTCCCCACCACCACCCTACACGCCTGAACATCCTCATGTCATCCTCGACCATGAGAAGATCCCCCAGGTAGGGGCACCACCCCCACCACACCCTGCAATCGACCCAGAAGGTGCTGCTGCTGCTTCAACAACAAGCGCAGTTAGGGGATCATCACCAAAACCGCTAGGAATGCGTGCAGACGATAGAGATATCTTTCACTTGCCAGCGACAACTGCTCTGACACTACTCTCAAGGAGCATTGAGATGCTCGTCTCTATGACTGGAGATGTGCCCCCTACTCCACCCCCAAGCGACCCTGCTACACCTGAGATGGAGGAGGAGCTTCACCCTACTGCCGTCTCAACAGGATTCAGCTTTGGCAAGACCATGGCCCAGGATTTGGATGGTGTTCATGTCAAACACAAGCACGATTTCAGGGATGAAGATAGTGATGATGACTTCTTGAGCAATGGAGGGGAGATCAAGATCATCGGTGCTGGAGCGAAGGGTATTCATCAGAATGCTTCAATTACACGAAAGTTCTGGAGCAAAGCTGCACCCGAGATCCCAATTGAGGACTACCTCTTCCGGTTTGTACCTCTATCCTGTGTGGTTTTATCACCTGATTGAACTTTTCGGATCAAAGAAAATTTACATTCTATCCATCTGATTGCTTCAATGCTATTGGTTTACTTGAAAGCTAACGTGATATTCCAGGATACATCGGTTCTGCCCATTATCAACAGCCGTATATCTCGCCGCCTCAGTGTATCTCCATCGCCTTGCAGTAACAGAACGCGTCATTCCCTTAACCCGCCTTAATGTTCATCGATTACTTCTTGCCGCCTTACGAGTAGCGAGCAAGGGATTGGAGGATCTTAGCTACCCACATAAAAGATTCGCAAAAGTCGGAGGGTTGAGCGAGTACGAGCTGAGTAGGCTCGAAGTCAGTAAGTGTCACCTGCTACCCCCCAAACCGGCCGCCTTGGTAGGCAATGTCTCGGATTTTAGTTTCTAATTCATTTCCCACAAATAGGCTTTTGTTTTTTGATGAACTTCGATTTGAAGGTCGACAAGGCTGCAATGGAGAAACAGGTGGCGAGCTTGAGGGAGACAGTAAACCGACAAGTCACTATGGGCACTTCAGCATTGGTGTTACCGCCTAGCCCCAAAGAAAAGGAGGTGACAGCGAAACCGGCCATGCTGGATGTATAGCCCGCCACCATTTTCTCTCTCCTATCTTCATTGCATTGTAGTTGTACGCTGGGCCTATTTCTTTCATATTTTCTTTCTTTTGTCTGGGGTTGGGATGTTATTACGGGGCAAAGTCATGGTCTGGAGCTATTTTTTTTCTTCCTTTTATTTACTTTTTTTCCTGAGGCATGCGATCTTGTTTTTTTCCATTTCGATACATATACCCGGCGAACTCCCTACGTGGTTTGCGCTGATTCGCATTTTTGGGAGGGGAAAAGAAAATGTATTTCCGTTGCTTCATCTTTTTTAACTATGATACCTTTCTACTGTTTTGGGGATCTCGGTTGATGAGATGTGGTGGCGGGCCGATGGTCATTATCTGAATTCTTTGTCTCAAACCTTTTTTTTCCTGCGACTTCTGGTTTTTCCTTCTTCTCTTCCAAATGGGCGATGGGTTTTCTTTTTTTCAATTGGGCTTGTCAACTGCTTTTTTCTTTTTTTCTTCTTGACAACACGTGCTGGCAACAACTCGAGCTTGTGTTGAACCGCTTATTAATTTTTTTGTTACGGGGACGACATTATTTGCTTAATTAGGAGGGGAAGTTGATGGGAAAAGAAAGAAAAGGGAAGGATTAAAAGGGAAAAAAAGGAACTACTTCCTCATCTCTTTTTTGCTTACTTTCTTTCTTTTCTTTCTTTCGCTTAATTCTTTCTGCCACTCTCTTTAGAGGATAACATGTCTGGTGGGGAAAATGGGAAAAAATGGAAAATGGGAATTTAAGGGAAACAAAACTACTTTTTTCAATTTCGAAGATCAATTGCATTTAGAAACTCAACTCCGGCCTAATTGTTTCATGCTGCTCATGTTTCACGACCATGTGTGATGATTATATTTCTGATAACCCGCAATACCCCAAGAGGCGCGCGCTCGGCCCGTTATTTTAATTTCCTCAAATACCTCCGGCTGGATCCCGTCGATCATGACGATGTCATGATGACCTTTCTGGAAAGGCGCGGGAACGCCAGTGACGATAGGGAGGGGGTTGGTTGTCGGGTAGAGGGGGAGAGCGAGGGGAGAACAGAGTAAGAAAAAGAAATTCGAGATCAGAAGCAAAAAAGCACCAACTTTACTTTTCCTCGTGAAAGTGAATGGAGGGGGGTGGACTCTTCATCCGGTGTAACGGGTGTGAATTGCGACTCACAGGCTTTTTGACTCAAGAGTTAATGTCATTTACGTAGTACCTGTCGGTTGATGAATCTTAGGGGTGAGTGACTAGGCCTAAAGGTAAATAATCATATCATGCTATTCCTAGGCACTGTAGGGCAGCGGGGGGGCCGGCCGGGTGCGGGGTTGACGAGTTCGGAGACGAGAAGTATTGTGACGAGGTTATTTGACAATTATGATGATGACGCTAAAAGCCCCCAGGGAGTGAATACTACTCTAAATAGAGTGATCAGAATGTTCTTTTTTTTTTTTTAACAGGCGCTGTTCTATATCCAGAATGTCGTTAATTGCTGTATCACCACAACATCAACCACCACCTTATTTCTCTCACGCCAGCCAGCCAGGGGTATTGTTTTTTTTGGGGGGAATATATTTACCTCAGCGTGTGTAGTAGAGAAGGGGTTACATAACATAAGCCGCAGATCGAAATCTCCATATCCGAGTTGTTACTTGCTCGCCAAAGCATCCACATGAATCCTGTTTTCTCGAAGAGGGATCCTCGCTCGCTCCCCGATTAGGATAGTTGGAGGTTGAGTTAGTAACTGATCTGCTTTTCCTTCGTTTGGTAGCTTTAGATAAGATGAAAACTACTCCCAAAAAGTAATAATTCAACATTTCAACGAACCCGTTACAACGGCGCTAGACCAAAGGGAAATATATACCGCACCTCTAGAGTGCCTTAGAAGTACTTATTCCTAGGTTTTACTTTTACGACTCTGAGCTGCTTTTCCCCAGCGCCGATACGGTTCGGATTCCCGGTGGTGGGATTCGCAATTCAACGGCATATTTCGGACAGGACTGGCCCTGGCCCATGGCGATGAAGGAAGAAGAAGGAACCTTAGAGGAGAGTAATTGGTTGCCCTGGTTGTCCGAGCGGTTTCCCAGCCCCAAGACAGTCCAGTCAGTCTTTGATAATACTGGGTCAGCCCAGCCCAGCCCATGCAGTATGTACCGGCCGGAGCTGCGATGAGATGAGCTCAGGGTTAAGAGAGGGGACATCAGATGTTTTTGGGTTTACTGTTTATTTTGTCCCTTTTCTTATTTCCCCATTGGGACTTTTTATTATTTTTATTTTTTTCCCTGTGAATTTTGCCTGTGAGGGTGTGGTGGGAGGACGTACATGTGGTTGTTGGGGGTACAAGTGGTTAAGGTGGTGGTGGGTGGTGTGGCAGGAGAGGGGAAGCTACATGTCGAGAGGGGCTGCTCGTTGGCTGGCATGGAAGAGGGGATAGTAAGGTAAGGGAAGCATTCAACTCACTCAGGAGGGGTGAATCTCTTTTTTTTTGCCAAAGTACGATGACGGACACAGAGTATATTTCTGGGTAGATCTGTGCGATCGTTGGTGATGTACAGGGGGCCCGAGGAAGTGCAATTGGCTTTTCTCAGTTGAGTGGTGGGACTAGGAGTGAGGCTCTGAGGTTTTTCTTCTGAGCTTCATGGTGTATTCTTGCAATCTACGGTGAGGTGAGACATGTAGTACTGTACGTGCTGCCCCTCTGTTGACAATTGACATGTATGTAGAGAGGAACAGCAGACAAGCATGTAGGATGTAGGTATGTGGTGCATGGAACATAGGTAGGATGTAGGTATTCGTTTTCTAATCATCATCGCCAAATGACGAGCTATTGGCCTAGCATTCGCTCTACATACCTGCTCTCCCTTCCCCGGATTGAAAACGGCAAAATTTAAAAGACGCTGGCGGGTAAATTGATATCGGGGGAGCTAGGCAGAGTCGAGTATGGCACCTGGAGATTGCGATTGGGCAGGAGAGATGAGTGGTGCGGCAAAAGACAGATCCAGAGAGCACTGAGGTAGACGCGCTGTGAACGAAGGGGTAGCAGATCTGAAATAGAGTGCTTTAAAGTGTTGGTAGGGTTACTTATCTATTCTATGTACGGTATATGTAGGTGTGCGTACCTACAATATACTCATGTACTGATTGCCCGAGGATCTGCCATAGGGCACAGACATCTCTCTTTATTCGTTTGGCTGAAAAGAGGGCGATTCCCCTTTTTAATAAACGTGTGGCTATCATGAGGTTGTATTGGGTTGATTGGGGATGTTATGGTTACTCACGTTCTGACAGGACAGACGTTGAGAGATAATGGCGACTCTCACATGTGATTGGCACGTGGATCGCTCCAATTACTGGTAGCCAAGTTCACTCGCCTGTCTCTCTTGTGGAGCCTCAAGCACGCACGGACCAGGTGGGAGGGGGAGGGGTAATCTGAGGAGGGGGAGGGGAAAGAGCAGAACAAGAGGAATGAGGGAATGGATGAATGGGTGGGACGACGCGAGGCAGGGAGGAAGACGCGAAGCTGTCTGTCTAGCTAGAGTGGGAATTTTTACATAAGGCATGTACATGTAGGTACAACGACTCCTCCCACTATATTCTAGACGTGGAGATAAAGTTTTGACATTGTTTACCAACCTACCTGCCAGGCCAGGTGGCAGGCAGGGCATTTTTCCGGACCGGCAATGAGCCAGGTTCTTGGACCAAGCTCTTTTTATCTACGCCCCCCTCCTCCCCACTTTGAATTAATCCTCCTATCCTGTGTCTTCAAGCTCAGCCCTCTTCACCAATTCCCCTATCTAAGCCCGTGTGGTTCCGGACCGGATCAACTGTCCGGAGTTCTCGGGTTGCAGCTCTGTCTTCTAAAGAGAAGCTTACTGGCTGGGACTTGTTTTTGAGAGTTGTTTTTTTCTCTCACTCACATGGGAAATCTATCGATCGCTCGATGATAGATCGATCGATATGTCCCCTGTAACGGTATCGTATGGGCGCTAAACCCGTGTTTCCTGGACCTAACTCTGGGGCCACAATACTAATCGTGTCCTCCCTACCCGTCTGGTCAGGAACCGGCAGTTATTTCTCGAAGGAGTGCGCGAGGAGCATTTTTGAAATGGCATGTGGAAATGTTTGTTGTTGATATCGCTCAAAACGGTGAGAGGCTCAACAAGTAGCGTGCCAAGCAGAATTAAGCTTTGTGACAAGCACGTGCGCTAGGCTATCTTTGAACTTACTAATCAGAATAACCCTAACCCATGTCCCGTGGAATACTTACTTAATTTAGGGACTGACGTCAATTATATCCAAGATTGTTGGATGAATACCGCTACCCGTGTTTGTAGCGATTTCGTCACTTACCTGAATGTAGGTGTTCAAATACAAAGACCGCGGGAGCGCGAGCAAGACATGTTTTTCATATCTTCATATGAATTCAATGGCTCCGCAGCTATCTAGGATATGGTCTGATGTCGTCACCTCCCACAGCTCTCTGTTATTAGAACTCACGGGAGCTCTCATAGTACAAATATTCTACTTCTGGGTTCCGAGTCTCTTGTACCTGTCCCTTGAGTGGATATTCCCAGCCTTTTCAGCTGCGCACAAGATACAGCCTACGCAGCCCCCACCAACGGCCACTGAGACAAAACACTGCATAGCGATAGTACTCAAGAACCAAGCAATTGGCGTCCTCGTGCACGCAGCACTTATCACGCTATTCCCTCCATCACCAATATCCAGGCAGCTCCCCACTTTCAAAAGGTTCGCATCCGATGTCCTCTTATCCGTCATAGTCTGCGAGATCATTTTCTTCTACGCCCACCGTCTTCTCCACACACGCAAGTTCTACGCCTACATTCACCGCAAGCACCATGCTTTCACAGCGCCGATAGCGCTCGCAGCGCAATATGCGCATCCAGCGGAGTTTGTGGTGTCGAATTTGCTGCCGCTGCATCTGCCTCGGATGTTAGTGCTCAGGGATTGCCATATCTTGAGCTTCTGGGCGTTCTGTGCGATGGTGGCGCTCGAGAGCTGTTCGGTACACTCGGGCTATGCTATTTGGAGTATGGAGGGGCTGGCTAGGAGGCATGATTGGCATCATGAGAAGGTGGTGGTTAACTTTGGTACGTTTAAGTTGCTGGATTGGATCCATGGGACGGATGGAGGGGTGGGTGGGGATAGGACTAGAAGAAGAGGGAATAGAAGGAAGCTTGTGGAATAGATAGAGGCTTTTGAACATTGCATTAGATGGGGTGATTGCATGAATTATAGGTAATGAGGCAGTGTATACGATATGGCATTTGGTGGTGGCTTGCGTGGGGTTGCGATGAGCTGTATGTAGGCATCTGTAGAGGCTTTTTTTCTTCCGTAGCTATATTTGATTAGTATTTAATATTTTAATGAACATGTTTTCTGTGATGACCTGTGTCCAAGCTTTTTTCCCAACGCTGCAAGCAGCGAAACTAATGCAGTAGGTAGCTGAAGAAGTCTCACACATGCTTCCTAGACATTTCGGGATATTACTACATGTTTTATCCTGACCCGGCTATCTATCCTGTCACGACAGAAGCACATCTTATGGTTTCGGCAAAGAAGCACTAAGATAAAGATAGAGAGTCTGTTATCCTGGATGGTGGACCAGAACGTTATCTCTCTTGGACATCCTCATCTCCTTGCCTCATGCTGCTGCGCACATTTGCGAGTGATACGGTATGCAGCTAGTCAACCGAACCGCATCCACACGCAGAAACAGGAAAGTTACAGTCTTACAGAAAACCGAGGAGTCTCTTAATGCGTGTGTTGAGTCCAGAGTTCGTCTCGGGCATCTTTCCTTTTGCCAGTCTTTTTTTATCTTTCTCTGCCTTCTCTGGTCTGGTTGCGTCCCTTATCTGGAACCTTCTCTTGGAGATCAACAGGAGAAACTCGAAAGGGCCCATGCCACGCACCCACTGGTGGCTGTCACAGCTAGCCCCTTTCTTGGCAGCCAGCAACAACCAAACCAGCTGTGCACTCCCACGAACGTTCTCTTAGTCGAAGTACATACATTTTCGACGACGGACAGTAGTTTAGTAGAGTTGTACGAACTCTATCTTGACCTCAATCCCTTTTTTTGTTTTGTCGATAATCCTTAGCAATGCGCACCTCCCTTTCCCTCACTTCGCTCGCGTTCTCTCTCCTGGCTTCGCTAGTCTCCGCGGACGTTAAGTTCAAGAGCCCGACTCGGAGCACCAAATGGAAGCCTGGAGTCACGGTGACTGTTGAGTGGGAGGACTCAGGTGATGGCCCCAGTTTGTCCGATTTTAGCACTTACACCATGTGGCTGTGCGTTGGAAGCAACAAGGACCCCGTATGTTTCCCCATTCCATTCCTCCTGCTCCTCAATGTCTATGTATACACATTGTATGCGAGAGAAAGAAAAATTTGTTAACGATAGAATGCGATAGTTCTGCGACCACACGATCGGTGTCGTCGGCTCCATTTTCGCCGAAGCTACATCCGCAAAACTAACCATTGACCCAACATATGGTGAGGATGGCGACAACATCTACTTCATCAAGATGCAGTCCGTCGCTAAGACTGGCGGTATGACAACCAACTACACGCCGCGGTTCTCGATGTCCGACATGACAGGCACCTTCACCGCAGCTCAGCTCGCTGCCCAAAAGGTCGGCGATGATGACCCCCCTGCGTCGACAGACACCGTTGCAGATGCTGCTGCCGCGGCCAGCGGAACGGCGGCGGCGAACAGCTTGATGAATGTGCCGTATGCGATGCAGACGGGGCCCACGAGATATGCGCCGATGCAGACGCAGCCAGGGAAGAGCATCACGGCTACGGGCCCGAGGATGCAGTACCCGACGAGTGCATATACAGTGTATAAGAAGGCGGGCCCTGCGCCAAATGTGCAGACTACCATTACGCAGGCGTGGGATTACAAGGTTACGAGTTTGGTCAATTCGGTATGTGATCTTCTTGTTGTTTGGCGGTGAGGAGTGGGGGTTGGAGGATCATAGACTAATGGGATTTTTGTGTTGGGCTTTAGGCTTCACCGGCGCCACAGCCTGATGATATGCAGAAGTTCCTCAACAGGTGGAAGGATTAGGCGTATCTATGTTCGCTTTTGTGTAGCTTTTTACGAATTTGTTTTATTGATTAGAACTGTTTTGCGTATACAGCTGTTGCAGGGCTTGCACGGCATTGAGGAGAAGAAGAAGAAGGAGGAGGAGGAGGAGGAGGAGGAGATGGGAGGATTGGTTGGCCGTTGTTAATTCTTGCTTTCCTTCCCTCGCTCAATGTTGATACCGATTTGTTTTCTTTTGTGCGCGGGGCCGGAGGGGAAAAACGTACTGCTAGCTTTGTTTATCCTCTTTCCCCGCGTATGTAGCTTGTTTTCATATGTTGGCGTAATAATGGTTGTTTCTCTCTCTCATGCCCTAGACCTACGCCGGCTCGAATTGAGTATTTCCCCACCGAATTCGGATTACCCCACAGTAGACTAGCGCCGCATCTGTCAGAAAAAGAAAAGAAAAGTGCCGTTGATGAGAATGTTTGGAGATGGGCAAAAGTCGAAGCTTCCATAACGAGTGCCCTGCGTATTGAAACCCGGGCCGGTATGCTCTGTTTATGCAGGGTTGGAAGGATTCCAAACATCTCCACACCTAGAGAATTACATGTAGTGAGCCATGCTAGAACTGATAGCGGACCGGGTAGCTCAAGCAGCGTCCTCACAACCACCACCATCACGAAAATTAACATCACATCACCGTACTGATTTTCATGTAGCTTCGTACCAGGTAGGTAGGCAGATTAGGCAGGCAACTAGGCTAGCAGGCAGCTAGGCAGATAATCGTTACCCAGGTGACCCATCTGATTTGACTTGAGCGTGATACTTCTGGCAGGTCACCCATCCCCACTGCAATATGAGGCTCACTGGTCTAATATATACGCGGGTATCCACGGGCCTTCTTCTCCTGCGCACCCCTACCTCCCCCAACCCCGCCATACTCACGTGCCTGAGAGCTCCCTCTTTTCTCTCTTCCTCTGCTGCTGCTGCCGCTTCCCCGTATCAGCATCATCAGCATCATCATCATCGTCTTCACCGATTATTCTCATCGACCCCGCCCAACCGCAAGGTCAAAGTAAAGCTGAACGCAGCACTAGCATACAAGTCGTTCCACTGGCGCCGAAAGAAGACCATCATAAAGATGTTGGCAATAAAGATGGACCCCCAGACAGACATCGTGCTGCAGGGAAAGTACCCAGCAAAGGCACATGCAAAGCGGGTTGCGGAGTTCATGGGCCTCAAAGAGGGTCTGCTGTATCTGGAGAGTGCAAAGGAGATGCTGCTGGAGGATTGTGATAGTGAGGGTGAGTTACCACGATGGGGTGTGGCGAGATAGATTGGTACAGGCAGTTAATTAAATGGGATCGAACAGCTCCCTTCCGCCAGCGTAGATACTTTTACTACCTCTCCGGATGCGACCTCCCGGATTCGTACTTGACCTACAATGTCTCCAGCCAGACCCTAACCCTCTACATCCCTCCCATCTCCCCGTCATCCGTCCTTTGGTCCGGCCTCCCCGTCTCAATCTCTGAAGCAAAGTCCCTCTACGACGTCGATGAGGTCCGGCACACCACCCCGGACCTGCACAATGATCTCCTAGCCAACTCACACCCCATCTTCGGCATCGCGTGCCAGCTCTCCCCCAAGCTCCCAGAGCAGATCACAGCCAGCATCGACACCAGTGGCAGCCTCAAAACCGCAATCGAGGAATGCCGCGCAATCAAAGATGCCTACGAGGTGGCGCTGATCCGCCGCGCAAACGAGATCACGGCGACTGCACACCATCGCGCGATGAACCTGGTAAAGAGCTCTGTGAACGAGCGCGAGCTCGAGGCTGTCTTTACGGAGCGCTGTATTGCGGGCGGCGCGCCGAAGCAGGCGTACCATGGTATCTTTGCGTCGGGGCGCTCAGCGGCGACGCTGCACTATGTGAAGAATAATGCTACAATGGCGGGGAAGCTGAACTTGCTTCTGGATGCGGGCGCGGAGTATAATAACTATGCGTCTGACGTGACGCGGACGTTCCCGATCAGTGGGGAGTTCACGCAGGAGTCGCAGCAGATCTATGATCTGGTGCTGAAGATGCAGAAGGAGACGATCGAGGCGACGGAGGCGGGCACGAGGTGGGATGATATCCATATCCTTGCGCACAAGATTGCGATCGAAGGCTTGCTGGCGCTGGGGATCCTGAAGGATGGGAGTGTCGACGAGATTCTGGAGAGTAGGACGAGTTGCGCGTTTTTGCCACATGGGCTGGGGCATATGTTGGGGATGGATACGCACGATACGGGCGGGCATCCGAACTATGATGATGAGGATAAGATGTTTTGTTATCTGAGGAAGAGGGGCCCGTTGAGGGTTGGGGAGGTCATTACGGTTGAGCCGGGAGTGAGTATTGGCTTGGTGATATCTGAAGCGTAGGGTTTTGAGTGCTAATTTAGGCGCGGTAGATCTACTTCTGTGAATTTATTATCAACCCCTTCCTGGAAGATCCCAAGCACTCCAAGTACATCGATAAAGCTGTTCTAGATAGGTACTGGGACGTCGGCGGTGTTCGTATCGAAGGTTTGCTTTAAACCGCTCCCTAATTGGTATTACCTACTAATCCATAACTCCAGATAACATCCTCGTCACGGAAACTGGCAATGAGAACCTAACCACCACGGTCAAGGAGGTGGAAGACATGTACAAACTGATCAACGACCTTTAGGTTGTCAGCGGTTGGTTAGGATCTCGCGTACATTGTTTTTTATAGCTAGTGGATTCGCTGCAATAAATAAATAAGAGAAGTTATATTCAATTTTGTGTCGGCGGCTTTGTAATCATGAGATATCACTCGCTTTTGACCTGAAGCTTTAGACTGCGTGTGGGTTTTACTACTATACAGGTAGTGACAGGACGACAGTCGTTTTTCGATGTCATTTCTTTACAGTCAGGCCGTCCTAGATGGAAAGCAAGCTGTCCGTAAGCAATGGACACGGGACTCAGGCGTCCCTCTACTAACCTCAGCGAACCACAAGTGCTTAATTCCGTATAGCTACCGCCCCATGAATTCCCAAGACCTCTTCTTTTCGAGCAACTTCGTCTCTTGGGAGACGAAATCCTCGGTCTGCTCCAAAGAAAAAACTGGCGGCGGCCTGAGCTGCTTTGGTGCTACCGCGCGGCCCGCCGACCGACCGGCGAGAGGGTGGGCGAAGACCCGCGGTGGCTGGAAGCGGTCCAGGTTGATACTAGATACATCTGATCTCTCACTCTCCAGATAAAAAGGATCAAACGGTAAGTTGTAATGGGGGCCGTTGATTGTTCTGCAAGCATGTGAATGATGGTTCATAGAATATCACTCGGATACGCACAATAACTAATCCCGTTTAGGCTTGGCTTTTCAAGTACATGTAGTGATGAAACCGTGTCTAAACACATCAACACTTTTTCCTGAAGCGACTATAGGGAGACAGATGCACTGCGAGCTTCCTGGTCAATTGCGTCACTTCATCGTCTCTTGCTCTATCACAACAACAATAATCCAACATCCTACTTCCAGCGAGTGATAAATGATGATGCAAGAGCTAGAGGGTCGATGGAGAGTCTATCCTTTGAATCTCTGAGATAATACAAAAGAAAACAGGTTAAGAAGTCTGACTGTAAGTTATTCTTCAAGTTTTTCCATGCCACTCAACTAATACTAGCTGTAGCATCACTCTTGGGATGCGTTGGGGTGTTTTTAGGGAGTAGCCAACTCTCAGAACTACAAAGATAAGAATTAGATATATTACACATAGATGGGCATGTTTCAGAGCCCAATAGCCAGACTTGAGTGCGACCTCCCTCCCAAAAATAAACTGCGCGTATTAACAAAACTAACAAAAACCAAAAACCAAAACCCAGCAGAGAACAAAGGAAAAAAGAAGAAAAAAAGTACAGACCGTCCGACCTACGCAGGGGGAAGACACACAGGATGTGCCAACAGCTCATTTGGAACGTTCACACTCGCGCTCCCGTTCATATCCTTACCCAGCTCGCTTGGAATATTCACACTAGCACCCCCGTCCAAATCCTTACCCTCACCCTTGTCCTCGCTGCTCAAGGCCCTCTCCACCGTCTCCGCACTCCACATCCACAGCTCCTCCGCCCATTCCTTATCTGCCGCCAACAAACTAGTCTCCTCCTTCACCGCCACGGGCACAAAATAATTCCCCCTCCCGACTTCCTCCGCATCCCCTACGGCCAAATACATCGCCGTTGCCGCCCCCTGCTCCAGCGTCTGCCCCATCAGCTTCAGCAGCACCGTCACCATACTGCCGCCAAACTCCCCGATCAGATACTTCCACCCTGCGCTCGCCTCCGTCGGCACACTTCCCGGGAAAAACGAGTTCGGCACCACCCCCTCCGGCAGATGCTGCGCCAGCGCCCGCGTGAACAATATATTCGCGAGCTTGCTGCGCCCATAGCGGTACCAGCTGTCCCACGCGGGGCCCCGCGACGTGGGCGGCGTCGGCGACACAAGCTCGTCGAAGCCGAACTTGCTGGCGACGACCATGTGGAGTGAGGATGACGTCACAACCACACGCGAGGGTGCGGAGGCGACCAGAAGCGGCGTGAGCAACTGCGTGAGGTGGAAATGGCCCATGTGGTTTGTGGCGAACGTGATCTCGACGCCGTACGAGAGGCGGTAGTCCGGGTCAAACGACCTCGCCGCGTTGAGGAAGAGGAAGTCGAGGCGGGTGAGTGTTGAGAGGATCTCCTTTCCAATGCGGTCGATTGCGGCGAGGTCGGCGGTGTCGCAGGCGATGAAGCGCACGCGGTCAGTGCGGTCCGGGGCGGCGGGCTGCCACACGTTTGTGAGGCTGTTTTGGAACTTTGATTCGTTGCGGGCGAGGACGAGGACTTGCGCAATGTCGTTGAGGAGAAGGTGCTTGACGATGTCGGCGCCGATGCCGTCGCTACCGCCGGTGATGACGGCGGTTTTGCCGCTGAGGGAGGGGCAGGTGTGGATGTTGAAGTTTGTGGACGGGAGGATCCCCCATTGACGGAGGAATTGATTGAACATTTTGTTAATTGGGATAGATAGCTATATAGGCTTGAGTGCGGTACTGACGACGATGGGAAGGGTTTGTGGGGCGATGTGTGCTTAAATACAAGATTTGATACCGTCTTTTGGGCCGCGGAAATCCGCATTCGGCGGAACAGATGAGCAGGTATACTTGATTGATAGGCGGATCGAACTTGCGAGTGGATGTCTAGGTTTCTACATAATTGGACGCCCCCGCCGCCGCCTATCTATAAAACAGGGTTTTAATAATGTCTCAGGCCTCCAAAAGATTATATAGTGAACCGCGGGGAGCCGACCTCAGCTGCCCAGACTTCTAACATGCGTTATAGGCATCTTGATTAGACGCTGGATTGGGTATTCATCTTTCCACCAATCTCGTGTGAAGGAAGCTACACTGGATAGTCTTAGGACTTGAACCAAGTGTATTCAAAGCCGCAATTCCCATCATAGCCTCCGGCCAACTATGTACCCTCAAGGTTGTGTACAGAATACTCAGCGCGTCTATTTGAAGTTTGAAGTTTAATGTTTACAGGCCATGAGTACTATCGGTTCCGCATGTGGTGTAATAAAGAATTGTTTGATCGACAATAGACCGGTTGCGGATTAGCCATTTAGCACAATTCAAGTAATACTAGGAACTGTACTGTATGTGAATGATGGAGCATGGGCAGGGCACGTTATATAACCCTTCGTCTGGCGCCATCATCTCTGAGTCGGGATTTTCTCTGGCGTCTCTCTCTGTGGATTCTACGTAAAATGATCAGCCTGTTAGACAAAGAGAGAGAGAGAGAGGTAAGTTCAGGTAACCGTGCTTTACATGCAGCAGGCTACATAATAGGTACTAGGCCTAGGAGATTTTCTCACTCACAGTATGATTCTCTTGAAATTATCTTATCAGGTAATCTTTCACTTGGAGGCTATTATTTTAAGGTTTAAAAAATCACGCTACGTGTGCGTGAAAATTAATTGAGCCTAGTATTATTATGAGACTAGCTATAGAGTAAAGATACTTGTATGCACCTTTCATGAAATAGTTACCTGTATTCATAAGTTCAATATTATGTTGTCCAAATATATAGAACTAGGCTACAGGGATGCTACAGACTAAGGTCTAAACCCAATATTCTTAGTGGGCGTAGGCGAGCATGGGGCTTCTGGTGAACAAATAGGAATCGCTGGAAACTAAGGATCCCTGCTCGTACGTCTTCCTTATCTTGAGGCACTGCTAGTTGCGCGCATAATGCAGAAAGGTGCTCAAACACTGGAAACGAAAAAACGCACCTGAAGATTCGGAGAAAGCCCCAGGCAAGGCTAAAGCTTAGCTAGCGTTGTATAGATATTTTTTTTTTATTCCTAGGACACCCCACAGCCTTTTTTCTGATTTTCAACCCTTCTCAGCTTATTTACGTAAGGGAGCTGGTAGAGTACAATAAATGAACTTATTATGTCCAGTTCTTATTGACGAGCACAGCCATTGGCATGGTGGCAGTTAGTAATCCCTCAATGGGATTGCGTATACCTACTCTCTTGTAAGTGTATTTGCCCACCCGATAATAATAATTACTCACTTGTTGATTCGTTAAATGTGACTATTCCAATGTTCTGGGCGGGGCTTAGAAATGGCCACGCGTGCGCATGGCTGTCTCAAATGGATGAGCTGTTTTAAAGGTTCCTGTAGGCTGTAGCACAGAAAAATAAGCATCGAAAATAGAGAGTCCTGAAGGTCACAAAAGGTGAGACATAGTTGGGATAAATGTATCTGCAGATATATCAATTGGGCTGTGTCTAGAGACTCTAGTTTCCTCAGATTCGTCTGCATTCGCATTTATATTTCGGGTCTCACATTTTTATTGGAGAACCGCTCGACGAGAATGAGTGCCGATCTGCGAAGAAAGCGATCAACATCCACATCGCCAAAGATTTCAATACAGTCGTTCACGGGGTGGTCATGAAGACGGACACTAGCGGAGAGGGGATTTTAGCGAATAAGGGCCATTAGAAAGGAATCGGTTCTAAAGCTTGTCTATGTCTCACCATACTTAGAATCCCTGTCCGTCAACACCTAGTGTTTGTATTCACCTCCTGAACGACTTAGGGCCCGTTCGGACAACCTTAGATTATTTCTTCGGATTATTGGACAGACTGGATTATCAGGTAGCGGAAAAGATAATCATAATACTCATAATAAGTGGATAATCTACATGTCCGGATAACGTTAGCTCTCAGGATATCTGTGTTGTGTGGGAATAATTATCTCCGAAGGTGATTGTTTTCTTGGCGGGTTATTGGGATAATCAGGAGTTCCGAATGTTGGATAGATTATTGGGTTGTCCGAACGGGCCCTTAGTAAGTGACCTTTAAGTTCCAAGCACGAACTATCACTCGCGCTAGGATTCCACGCCCAGAAAAAAAACATGGCAAAAACTTGGCACCTGTCAGAAACCTCGATACCCGTTTTCACAAACCATGGAGACCCCCCCTTCTTGATCCTATCCCAGGGGTTTCTTAGCAGTGAAGCTTCCTCGTGCATACTAATATGCATTGTCACGCAATATGCAAGCGTGACATGACCCCGATGACCTCATAAAGTGCCAAGTCACTGCGCTCCAGGCGCGACAACAACAGGACTTCTCACTGATCCAAGGAACAAGCATGGAAAAGTCACTCCAATCCCAATACTGCCATCATTCCGGGTGAGAAAAGAAAGTAAGACAACCAGTAAATCCTTCCTACGTAGGGTGCGGTTTTCAAGTCTTTACTGCCCCGTCGTATCTCAAACATGCGCAAAAGATTCGCAGCAGCATGGGTGGGTGTGCTGTATGGGGAAAGGAGTGTAAAACAAGCTACTGCCATGACGGAAGCTAGGACCCATATCCAGTACTGGGACACGTCTTTCTCTGTTGTTTGCTTCGGTACCTTCCATGGTAGCTGGTGGGCCAAGCCCTTATAAACTGACGTCTATCTGGACCTTTTCCTCCTCAACTTTCTGTGAAGTCCTTCTTCTTCAGTTAGTCGGAATATCAACTCCTTCCCCCTCCATTTCCCCCCAATATGTCAAACTACTCCCATCACCAGTCTCAGAACCACCCCGGTAACTCCTATCCAGACCCAATGCCGTCGCAGATGGGCGAGTACGGAGACCTCCCTGGTTCCTCTTCCCGGCGGGCCCCAAGGTCCAAAGAGCACGTCGCCGCCATCCCCGACCCAGGGCTCGAGCGCACGAAACGTCGTGGATTCCACCCGATCCAGGCCCTGGCTATTGCTGCGAAAAGTGGTTGTTTCCTCGGGGCATGCACGAATGTTTTATGGCCCTTTGTCCCTATTGGAATCGCTCTTCATTTCGTGAGGCCGGAGTGGCATTTGTGGGTATTTGTAACGAATTATGTTGCCATGGTTCCCACGGCAAACCTATTGGCGTTTTCGAGTGCGGGGTTGGCACGAAAGATTCCAAGGGTGAGACATTCTTAGCTTTGGTGTGGTTGCAATTGGTTACGAGTTGGACTAATTGTATTGATCAACTGGTGATAGGTCTTGGGAGTAGTACTACAAGTGACGGTTGCATCAGTGGTTGAGATAATCCTGTGCATACTATTGTTGTTCAAAGACCAATACAAGGTGATCCAGGCTGCACTTCTTGGGTCTATGCTAGCAAATCTGTTGTTGTGTACGGGACTCTGTTTTGTCATTGGTGGGATCAGGACAAAGGCGCAAGAGTTTGGAGATGTGCTTGCAGAGACTGGAGGAGGGCTATTACTGCTATCTGTTGCGGCATTGACGCTGCCAGCAGCATTCTATGAAGGCCTTAGTGGACTGAATAGGACAACAGCCGTGGACCTGACAGATAGGATCTTGAGTGTTTCGAGATACATGTCAATTTTGTTAGTCGTTGCTTACGCTCTGTACGATATAGCCATCTCTTCCTGCTCTTGAATTTTTAGCATGATACTAATTTGATTCTCAGATACCTTTTCTTCCAACTCCACACACACCACCATCTATTCGACCGCGACCTCTACCATGCAGATCAGGCCAACAAGGACCGACGCGATAATGTAAACCGTGCTAAACTCACCATCACCGAGTCTCTGCTTTTCGTTATCTTTTCTCTGACCCTCGTCTGCCTCCACTCTATCTTCATGGTTGAGCAAATCCATTGGATCGTAAGCAACCGTCACGTCAGCGATGCGTTCATGGGTCTCATCCTCGTACCCCTCGTCGAAAAGGCTGCAGAGCATCTCAGCGCCGTTGACGAGGCCTGGGATAATGCGATGGATTTCGCACTATCCCATATCCTAGGCAGCACTATACAGACGGCACTGTTTGTGGCGCCAATTGTCATCATTATTGGTTGGATTGCGGGAAGGCCGATGGATCTAAATTTTGAGGTTTTTATGGTTGTAGTATTGGTGTTTTCGGTGTTGGTGGTGGGTAACTTTATCAAAGACGGGAAGAGTAATTATCTGGAGGGAGCGTTATGTTGTATTTTTTACCTCATGATTTCGTAAGTTACCCTTCCCAGAAAGCCTCGGATGGTGAGGTAGATGGGCTGACAGGATCTTTTAGGGTGACTACTTGGTACTATCCAAACCCACCAGAACTCGAAGCTGGCAGCGAGCACTAGTGACAGCGCAGCGATGGTCTTTCTTTGGTTAGCTTTTGATTATTTAGCCAGCAGGAGTTTTAGCATTTTTTATTTCTGATCCCAAGCTTGGGATTGAAGGCAGGCTCCTTCTAGAATTACTTAACTGTAGTTATACTACTATCGACTTTACTTTGTTTTATTTAAGGGCTTCGGTTTGTCCATTGATTGTGAAAAGTCATTTCCGAAAGAGAAGTGAGCAATATTGGGCTTGGATTTCTTTAGTGAAAGAATCTTCAGCCCTAAAAGCAGTTGCTGAAACTGTATCATAATGTCTCACTCGGGTTATCATAACAATATTATTGATATCATGATATATGCTTTCCTTATTGATATGATGTATGGCTGTATGGCTTCCAAGCCTATGAAGATATTATATACGGTCGCCACATAGTGTTGTAGTAACTGGTGAAGGCAACTGGATATTCCGGTGCTCCAAGATTGGGTGCCCCTGTTTAAACGGTAACTGCATGCAGTTATCCACGTAAAGAATTCTTGTACACTTCTACAGGAAGTTTCAGACTCGAATACTCCAGGGTTCGGGGGAAGAAGGAAAGTAGGTCGACTCCGCCTGTGTTACCCAAGTCAGCTTGCGGAAATCAATGTTGCACCTAATTCTCAACACCTACTATTGAATGCCTGTCATTCACTATCCTGGGGTACGTACGCCAATTTCCACTTTAATAGCCTTCTGTAGGTATAAAGACTGGGATGGTCCGTTAAGGTTATCCCCAGACTTAGTCCAGAAAATCAAGCCCGGCTCAGATTGCTCCAGTCTGACTATTGAGGGCCCTGACCCTCAAAGCCCACGGCGACTTAGCCTGAAAAAAGACAGATCTAGGCCACTCGTCGCGGCTCTAAACTCAAACAAATTCTTACTCAAGTATTGAGAGGATGACTAAAACTTGAGCTTATCCAACCACGATGGCTTGAATGAACACTAGCTCAGCTGTTTTCTTTTATCAACTGGTAGGACCCCAGAACATCCTAGATAGAGAAAAATGTACTTCCCTCCTTTCATAACACCACAATCCGCCGCTTCCCTTTTGTCCTACCTCGATCAACTTATGTCTCTTTAAACCGTTTCCAGCTTCTGTGTAGAAAGATTTCCTAGACCAAGATTGACAATAGCACAAGTTAGGCCAGGGAAGCTCGATTAGGTTAGATGTATGTAGATTATCGACTTTGTCCGCGGTGATTTTTGATTGGAACTGTGATCAGCCTCCAGGTTGTGAGGCGGCCTTGTAAATGATAAACTGAATGGGCAATGGTTATCCGTTAGGGTTTGGGAGTAAAGTATTGGTGGAGACTTCCAAAGTCCCCACATAATCATCCTACGAGCTTTAAATCGATGGTAGACTACAATTTTAAATTCAGGTATGCTCATGGCTGATAAATTACTAGAGGCAAGATACACTTGAAGTACATTTGATCGTAATCAAGGTCTAAAGCATAAGGTATGTGGTAGGTGACTGGGTGGAGAACCTGAAAAGCGTCGATATCTCGAAGGCCTGCACAGCGGGCCAAAGTATGATTCTACACTATTATCAGAGAGCATATTTACAGTTTATGGTGTCTCGAACAGCACCACTCGCTTTACTAAGGTTTAGGAGTTTCGATCGGGTGTGCCTTTACGGCAAGTGAGCACATACATGTATTTATCCATTAAGAGAGCTCAACACACGTTGTGTGGGATAAGAAAGGTCGTTTTTGCGTTTCTCGAGCTGAGAATGGAGTGGGAGCGAGGATGGGGGAACGACGCTGAAAAGTAAATTTAGGAGCGCTCGCTAGCTACAGTACCCTTAGCTTAAAACGAAAACACGCTTCCTATTTTAGACTTCATGATCAACGATGTCATGACATGAACCAACAACTACGTAGGTGATAGGTCTTTACCCTCTCAATAACCCCTTTTTTTCCCACCATGAATACTGCACTCCCTCTATATCCTTTCCTTCATGTTTTAGAAGCTCATCTCCATAGGCATATCACAATGTTTTGGTTCAGTTGACTATGGACAATTTTCAATTATCAAAAGATTTTTTCTTTTTCGGCGCCAAACTACTAAGGCTATAAGAAAACTCGTCGAGGCCAGACTAATCTTTATTAATATTGCCAGTATCGTTCCGGTAAATACCGTGGTTCTCTGGCATTTTTGCAACAATCTTCAGTATGATACACCAATTCATTTTTTGAGGATTCCGTTTGTAACATATAGCACGTATTGAAACACCGGATTACAGCTTACTCTGAAGCACACTGACACTTTTGTGTAGCATATGGGTCCATGGGGTGTTCTCTTTCCCGTTATTTTACTGGGCCCTGGACCTATTTTTGTATGGGCATTATATTAGAGTTACGATATCACCCCTATACCTACTTAATGCAGGTTTGGGGCTTCGAAGGTCCACAGAGTTCGAAAACGCTCACAGGTGGGGCAGTTCCCACGGACATAAGCACATCCTGATCCAACCTCTTTACCATCATTCACAAACCCACATCCACCAAGGACTGAAACACATCCCGATAGTTATCAGAAATCTCAATTCATATGGTACGATCATTAGGATATGAGGTCTGAAAAAATCCCACCCTTCCAGGGGCAATACTAACTATATCAAAAAATTTCCACAACAACGCCAACAAGGTCGCCACGTGACAGCCAAGCTGACCCATAATTGATCTGTCCGTTCCGTAAGTACATGTATGTCCCACCTTGCAAATTGAATCTCAGCACTGATGACGGTTGTTCGTAGACCCTTCTAAAGAGGAAAGATAGCTTTTTTTAGCAAGTGGCGAGATTAACAGATCTCCGGTCAATGAATAACAACGCTTCAAACCTATCCTACTCAAGTGTTGTCGCTTTCCATAACTCTGACGTGCAAAATTCCCCGCACTTCAGTAGCATGTAGCACCTTTTTTCAGAACACACGCTCAACGAAGAAACCCAAAAGACAAGCACTTTCAACCCCTCCCCCCGACCATTCATCTAAGCAAGCACGGGCTTCCTAAGCTGCAGGTAGGCAGGCGGTGTGGGCCGTCGGCGAAAAACGATAAATAGAGGAGCGAAAAAAAAAGAAAAGAAAGAAAGAAAGAAAGCAGGAACCAAGCACCGCCGCCATCACTGCACGGTACCTGGGCCTGGGTACCTGGGGAAAGAGGGGCCACCCAAGAGGCAATAAGAGTCAAAGGTAGGGTGTCAATCCAGATTCCGATCAGTTTAGCGGCACGCGTCGCATTCCCGATTCCTTCGTTCGTCCCGGAAAAACCTCAATAGTTATTTCAGCCTCCTCCGGACTTTTCCTGTGATTCCACCCCCTGTTCGAGCTAAGCTTTTATTCTCCCCGGATTATCTCTGGCTGAGTTTGAGGTTGTTCCTGTTGATCTTCTCGTTTGTCGTTTCCTGGTTCCGGTTGTCTGTGTTCACTTGCCTCGTTGGCTATTCAGAGTTGTGATGTGTGGTTGGGCGCGTTCCATCGGCTGCTTCCAAGGCTTCTCTTGCATGGACTACGAGCCCCTTCTCTGATTTTCCCTCACACGTATTAGGTTTTCTTGCGTATTCCATGATTCTGTCTTGCCCTGTCGTATCTATTTTATCCATACCCGTTCTTCATACCCAGCGATTTTCCATCCGAGCCCCCTTACTGTAGTGGCGAACCTTATTTGCGATACCTTCTGTCGTTTTCATATACCCCCTCACACATTCTCTCCTTCGTCGTTCAACACTCATTCCCTATCACACCCCCCTCCCATCAAATATTGCCCCCAGTCATCCTCAAACGTGGGTGAACAGACTTTCGCCGCGCCAAACACATACGCCTTAATATACACACTCGCTCACTCATTCACTCACTGACACGCACTCACACGGCCTACAGCTACTATTACCGCCCCAGCTCGCAAGATTGGTCCATTACACACCACAAACGCACACACACACCCACTTGCTAGCTCCGCTTGCATATACCCCTCCTAAACCCCTTGGCCTCCCTCGATTCTTTCCCCCTCCATCATGCCCGATACTTCTCTTCCGGGTCCTGGTTCTCCTAAGCATGATATCCGCCAGAAAACCCCTTTGCCTGCATCGTCCCTGAAAGACTCCTCCCTCCCTTCACAAAACTCATCACCATCAAGCCTTCCATCCTCACCAACTACAGTTAAATCATCTTCCGACGCGCCTAAGGGGAAGGGGAAGGCGGTCAAAGATGATCGCGATTCCCCCTCATCAGAAGCGAAGGGCAAGTCGCTCAAGAGGCGTCCCAGCACAACAGCCTTGCACCTTGAGCAATACATAACACGCGATCACCTTCACGCAGCAGCGCTCATCTCGCAGACAGAAGCGTCACACGACCTGATACGTAGTAAACGACGCGAAGCAGAATACTATCAGTCCCTGCGACGCGAGCGCGTACACAACCCCGGTGCGATATTTGGTTACGGATATCAAGGCTATGGGAACGGATCAACCAACGGCAAGGCGCGGATTTTGTACCCGTGTGAACGGAAAAGGCCAGGCGCAAGGAAGGCGCGGGAGCTGAGGCTAACACGGACGCAGCTACAATCTCAAGCCGACTTGCTTGAAGCATTAGTCCCCATCAGGCTGGACATTGACTATGATAAAATTAAGTTGCGCGATACATTTACATGGAACATGCATGATCGGACGGTACCGCTGGAACTGTTTGCGGAGCAGCTTGTGGAAGACTTTCATCTGCCATTAACACCGCAGTTGGTGCACATGGTGTCGAATTCGATACGGGATCAGGTTACGGACTACCATCCCCACATCTTCTTTGTGGACGACCCGCTAGATGTAAATCTACCATACACCGCATACAAGAATGATGATATGAGGGTACTCATCAAGCTTAACATCACAATTGGACAGCACACACTTGTGGATCAGTTCGAGTGGGATATCAACAATCCCCTTAATTCCCCCGAGGAATTTGCCCAGCTTCTTACCCGTGACCTTTCATTAT